GGAGGCACTAACTGAAATAAAGAATAATTTACACAGATTCAATAGTAGAGTAGGTAAAGCCAAGAAGCAAACCATCGATTTGGAATCTAAGGAAGCAAAAACACCCAATCAGAACAACAACAAAACTAATCCAAAAAAATGAGGATAGTGTAAGGAGCCTCTGGGACAACTTCAAGCGTGCCAACATTCGCATCGTGGGGGTGCCAGAAGGAGAAGAGCGAGAACAAAAAACCAAAAGCCTATTTGAAACAATGACAGAAAACTTCCCTAACTTGGTGAAGGAAACAGACATACAAGTCCAGGAAGCACAGAGAGTCCCAAATAAGATGAATACCAAGAGGCCCACACCAAGACACATCATCATCAAAATGCAAAAGGTTCAAGACAAAGAGAGAATCTTAAAAGCAGCAAGAGAAAAGCAGTTAGTTACCTACAAGGGAGTTCCCATAAGAATGTCAGATGATTTCTCAAAAGAAACTTTGCAGGCCGGAAGGGAGTGGCAAGAAATATTCAGAGAGATGAAAAGCAAGAATCTACAACCAAGATTACTCTATCCTGCAAAGCTGTCATTTAGAATCGATAGCCACATAAAGAGTTTCCCAGACAATGCCCTGGCCAGTTTGGCTCAGAGGTTAGAGCATTGGCCTGCGGTCCAGAGAGACCCGGGTTCGGTTCCCGCTAAGGGCACGTACCTCAGTTGTAGTTTGTCCCCGGCCCTGGTTGGTTGTGCGGGTGGCAGCCACTCGATGTGTCCCTTTCACATCGATGTTTCTCTCTCTCTCTCTCCCTCCCACTCTATCTGTACAAAAAATGGAAAAATGTCCTCGGGTGAGGATAAAAAAAAAAATAGAGTTTCCCAGACAAGAAAAAGTTAAAGGAGTTCATCACCACCAAACCATTATTATATGAAATGTTGAAGGGTCTTTTTGAAGAAAAAGATAAAATATATGAACAAACAAAATGGCAATGAATACATAGCTATCAATAATAGAATCTACAAACAAAATGAAAAGGTAGAACAGAAACATTCTCATAGATACAGAGAACATTTTGTTGGTTGCCAGATGGGAGGGGGGTTGGGGGAATGGGTGAAAAAGGTGAAGGGATTAAGAAGAACAAATTGGTTCCTAGACTGATAAACCTCAAAGAGAAGGGGGTTGGGGGGTGGGAAGAAATAAACCAAAGAACTTATATGCATAACCAATGGACACAGACAATAGTGTGGGAAAAGGCAGGAGGGGGGTGGGAGTGGGGAGGAAGGGGTCAATGAGGGAAAAATAAGGAACATCTGTAATACATCCAACAATAAAAACTAAAAAAAAAAAAGGTAAAAACTGAACTTCCATTTGACCCAGTGATCCCACTTCTAGGAATATACCATAAGAAGCCTGAAATACCAATCAGAAAGAATGCATGTACCCCTATGTTCATAACAGCACTATTTACAATAACTAAGATCTGGAAACAGCCCAAGTGTCCATCAATAGATGAATGGATAAAAAAGCTGTGCTGCCCTGGCTAGTTTGGCTCAGCGGTTACAGCATCAGCCTTCAGTCCAGAGGGACCTGGGTTCGGTTCCCGCTGGGGGCATGTACCTCGGTTGCAGTTTGTCCCCAGCCCTGGATGGGTCGTGCGGGTGGCAACCACCTGATGTGTCCCTTTCACATCGATGTTTCTCTCTCTCTCTTCCTCTCTCTCCCTCCCACTCTATCTGAACAAAAAATGGAAAAATGTCCTCAAGTGAGGATTAAAAAAAAAAGCCCTGGCCAGTTTTGCTCAGTGGTTAGAGCGTCGGCCTGCAGTCCGGAGAGACCCGGGTTCGGTTCCCGCTAAGGGCACATACCTCGGTTGCAGTTTGTCCCTGGCCCTGGTTGGGTCGCGTGGGTGGCAACCACTCGATGTGTCTCTTTCACATCAATGTTTCTCTCTCTCTCTCCCTCCCACTCTATCTGAACAAAATACCGAAAAATGTCCTAGTGTGAGGATTAAAAAAAAAAAAGCTGTGGTACATATATACAATGGAGTACTATGCAGCTGTAAGAAAGAGAGATCTCTTATCCTCTGAGTCAACATGGAGGAATCTAGAGAGTATTATCCTAAGCAAAACAAGCCAAGCAGAGAAGGACAAATATCACACGATCTCACTTATTTGTGGAATGTAATGAACAAAACAAACTGATGAACAAAATAGACCCAGAGACATAGAAGTAGGGTACAGACTGATAAATCTCAGAAGGAGGGAGGGGAGATAAACCACAGAACGTATATGCATGTATGTGTAACCAATGGACAATGCTGGGGATGGGGTGGAGGTGGGGATCGGGAGGAGGATATCAATGGGAAAAAAAGGAGAAACATCTGTAACAAAAAATAAATTAATAAAAATAATTTTAAAAAAATAAGAATTACAAATTTGTATGGGGTTTTCTATGTTCCAAAATATCCACCTTTCCTATGTACAGCACAGCTTGCTTTTATAATTAAACAAAAATATCTCCTTTTAAAACTGGCATAATCGCCCTGGCTGGTTTGGTTCAGTGGTAGACCATCAACCCTTGAACCAATGAGTCGCAGGTTCAATTCCGGCCAAGAGCAAGTACCTCGGTTGCGGTTCGGCCCTGGTTAGGGTTGTGCAGAAGGCAACCAGTCAATATGTCCATCTCACATCGAAGTCTCTCACTCCCTTTCTCTTCCTCTCTCTCCCTCCCACTCTATCTGAAAATAAATAGAAAAAATATCCTTAGGTGAGGATTAATTTTAAATAAAATTGGCATAATCAATAAGAATAAAGGCATATCTTTCCATTGATGAGTGTCTAGAAAAGAATACTCGAATCTAAATGTCTTGGCAGTGATATAACGCCAAGTTACACAAAACATATCCAATGCTTCAGGTTCAACCTGATGAGAGTGGGCTAGACAGGCAGCTCCTCCACAAAATACCAGAAAACAGGCAGGCAGAGGACAAAAGCCACACGAAACCCACTCTACACACCCATGACCATATTATAACAACCCACAAAAAAAACAGAAATATGTGAATCAGGACCTGCCTGTAGCCTGGGAAATGCTAGAAGGTGGGTTAACCTAGAGTAGCTCTAAGACCTCATCCAAGGAAAGCTCCTGCGCTTTCCAGGACGCTTGAGAACACAGGGCTGCACTGCAGCCTTGAAAACTGGCTGGAGCCTTTTTAATGAGCTGAAGACCAACCACAAGGAACACTTGCTCATGTCAACCACCAGATGGCGAGGGAGAGTCCCACCAGGGGCTGAACCTGTCCCTATGCCATGACTGGAGTCCCTGACTGTCACCTTTCCTAGAGGCCACCAGGGAGGGAATAAAAGTTCAAGGATTCACCTCCTCCACCCCACAGGCACAAAGCTCCACCAAGTTAGGATCAATACAAATCTACCAAACCCTCAGTATTTCTGGTAATCAATAAAAACATTTTTCATTTATAAGGTCACACACAGTATTGGTAAAAGTGGGGAAAAGGTGATTTTCAACTTGTTCAACCTTTCCAGTAACTTCATTTATAGTCCCTAAAATGCTCATTCCACTTCTAGAAACTCATCCTTAAGAATCAATCAGAATGGTACAAAGTTTTATGTAGACTATCCATGACAAGATTAATTTTACTAACCAACCAGCAGCACAGCAGTCTACAGGTCCAACAGGAGACTGGAGAAACAGCACATTCACACCACAGTCATGTTGGCAGAAGACTGAAGGAAGCTCCAGGCCTGTCAGCACCTGGTACAGACAAGCATGGGCACCACCATGCCTGCAGACAAGCACCCACCCATAGTGGCAGGACAATGGACAAAAGCAGTTACATCTCTGGGAGACTCAAGTGCATGCAAGTCTTATTTTATACTTATCTTTATTTTCCAAAATAAATGATTATTTTTACAATTAGAAACTCACAATGCCACCTTTCAGTCCTTAGCAAAACCGTGAAGGGCCTCTGTCTGGCAAGCATCTCAGGAAGCTCACATGTTTCTTGCTCACTTGTAAAATCTGCTTCTTATGTTTAGGCTCTGCTCTGTGGTTCAGTAAGTGCCTTCACAAGTATCTCACCAATGCCCCCAAAGGCCCTATAAATTAAACATTTCACTTTCCACTTTGAGCAAGGTCATGGCTATAAATATAAGGTGAGCCTGAATCCCTCAGTGAGGTGTGGCCCATTTCCCAATCAGAACCCCCACAAGTTTTTAGAGCCAATTTCCAACTTTCACGAATACAGAGGGAACCCAAACAAGCCAAGTTTTCTCATTTATTTACACACCCATTTTAAATCACATGGAATACAAAAGATTAATCTAGAAAAATAGCTTCCTTCCATTCTCACATGTCATGAAACAAGCTTACTCAGTTTTCACACGTGTCTTTGGCATACCACCTGGGTTGTCTTACCCAGCTCAACAGACAGAATCATCTTTACCTATTTTAAGCATAGCCTGTTGCTGAGTTAACATAGATGTTTGGGGATTTTTATCCTAAGCCACAATGATCCAAGCACCACTCATGATCTGTACAAACCACAGTATGACCTGCTTTCTAAGTGACTTTCAAAGGCTTGTCTAACTGCCACCACCCCAAAGGTAAGCTCATATACCCCAGGTATAACTGCTACACTTATTCTAAATCTGCCCTCTGCTCAGTTGAAGGGCCTTCAGTTGGCCTCCTTGAACCCCCTCACCCATAGCTGGGTGACCTGTGAGCCCCCAGCACACTATCAGGTGACCTGTGAGCCCCTAACGGGCACTGTCAGTGGTCACATGAGGTTCAGAGATCTCCCACATCCCAACAGAGCTGGTGCTCCCTCAAAGAAAGAGTAATGGGGAGAAGAAAACACTTCCCCAGGCCCATCAACCCAGTGCCCTTTTCTGTGAACAACATAGACACCAGGTAACACAAAGTATGTAAGATAAACCTTCTCAGAATGCACCAGTTACACATCAACCAATAAGACCTCAGGAAGGCCAACTGGGCACTTACTTGGACACAAGGACAGCAGCCGCATCTCGGGCCTTGTCGCTGACAACCAAGTAGGACTACAAGAAAGCATAGACAGGCAACATTACACACACAGAGTAAACCTCAGGGGCCTACTCAGCTGGCCAGTCCACACACAGTGGCTTCCCGAGAGCCCAACTCCTAAAGCTCACAGATCAAGGCCAAAGCTGCACAAACCACTCTGAACTTGAGCTCACAGCTGTAGCTGTCAAGTGCTGTGCCCACTCTCAGGTAAGCACCAAACCATACACGGCATGTGTCACAGCCCTTGAAGCACATTTGCAAGAACAGCAGAAAATTGAAACCGTGTACGTGACCCAACAGTAATAATCACGGAGTGTCCATGGAGCACACTTGGGACCTGTGAGCATTTAGTATCAGAATAGTTAGAAGGTCTGACTCAAACAGAAGGGCACCTGGGTTTAACACAAATGACTAGCTTGTCTTAGAAGACCTGCCTTAAGAGGTTTCCAATTCTCATCTCAACTAACTTTTTTCCGATACTCTTAAAAGAGCTTTTCTCTGGGGCAGGTTTTCTGGACAACTGCATAGAGCTCCAAGTAGTTAGAAATGCACCACCCCTCACCTGGCAATTTGGCCTAGGAGACAAGCACACAGGGACGTCAAGGTGCTCATTACAACCCTGCTCTTGACAGAACATACCATTTTGATAGGAACAAAATGTACATCTGTAAGAAACTATTTTATTTTATTTTATTTTATTTTATTTTATTTTTTCTTTATTGATTTTAGAGAGAAAGGAAGGGAGAGGGAGAGAGAGAGAGATAGAAACATTGATGAGAGCCCTGGCCGGTTTGGCTCAGCGGTTAGAGCGTCGGCCTGCGGTCCGGAGAGACCCGGGTTAGGTTCCCGCTAAGGGCACGTACTTCGGTTGCAGTTTGTCCCCGGCCCTGGTTGGCCGTGCAGGTAGCAGCCACTCGATGTGTCTCTTCACATCGATGTTTCTCTCTCTCTCTCTCTTCCTCTCTCTCCCTCCCACTCTATCTGTACAAAAAATGGAAAAATATCCTCGGGTGAGGATAAAAAAAAAAAAAAAAAGAAAGAAAGAAACATTGATGAGAGAAAACATCTACAAGCTATCTCCTGCATGCCCCCAACTGGGGATCAGGCCCACAACCCAGGCAATGTGCCCTGACCAGGAATCGAACCGGTGACCTCCCAGTGCACGGGTCAATGTTCAACCACTGAGCCACACCAGCCGGGCTGTAAAAAAGACTATTTTTTATTTATTCATTAATCCTCACCCGAGGACATTTTTCCATTTTTTGTTCAGATAGAGTGGGAAGGGAGCCCTGGCCGGTTTGGCTCAGCGGTTAGAGCATCCGTCTGCGGTCCGGAGAGACCCGGGTTCGGTTCCCGCTAAGGGCATGTACCTCGGTTGCAGTTTGTCCCCGGCCCTGGTTGGTCGTGCGGGTGGCAGCCACTCGATGTGTCCCTTTCACATTGATGTTTCCCTCTCTCTCTCTTCCTCTCTCTCTCCCACTCTATCTGTACAAAAAGTGGAAAAATGTCCTCGGGTGAGGATAAAAAAAAAAAACAAAAAACAGATAGAGTGGGAAGGGGGAGGGAGGGGAAGAGAGAGAGAGAGAAACATCGACGTGAAAGGGACACATTGAGTGGTTGCCTCCTGCACAATCCAACCAGGGCCGGGGACAAACTGCAACCGAGGTACGTGCCCTTAGCAGAAACTGAACCCAGGTCTCTCTGGACCACAGGCCGATGCTCTAACCAGCCAGGGCAGAAGACTATTTTTTAAAACTGGGGTACAATGGAGCACCTTTTCCCTTAAAGAATGTGTTGCCAAGGGTCACAGAATGGCAGGGCATCAAAGCCCCTGTTGAAATGGGCTGTGAGGAGCTCTGTGAAAAGCATAGGCCGCAAGCCAAACTGCCTAGGTTCAAATGTGGATCCATTTATGAGAAAATAAACCAGGTAAGTTAATATTGTCTCCTCAGCAAAATTAGTATTAAAACAGTAAACTAACCTGGCTGGTGTGGTTCAGTGGTTGAGCGTCAACCCATGTACTGGGAGGTCACCAGTTCAATTCCTGGTCAGGGCACATGCCCGGGTGGGCAGCCAATTGATGATCTCTCTCATCAATATTTCACTCTCTCTCCCTCTCCCTTCCTTTCTCTCTAAAATCGATAAAGTAAAATAAATAAAATTATTTTTAAAATTTTAGAAGTGTGTCAGGCAGACCTGGCCGGTTTGGCTCAGCAGTTGGAGCGTCTGCCCACCGACCCATGAGTTGCAGGTTCAATTCCGGTCAGGGGCGCATGCCATGGTTGCGGTTCATCCCCAGCCCTGGTCGTGGTTCATCCCCAGCCCTGGTCGTCTGGGAGGCAACCAGGCAACGTGGCTCTATCACATCAATGTTTCTCCCCCCACCTTTTCCATCCCTCACACTCTATCTAATGATAAACAGAAAAATATCCTCGGTGAGGAGTAAGTGTGGCAGGCAGACTCTAAGGCAGCCCCTGGTCCGCCTGCGGGCATGTGCACTTTGTGTGATCCCTCCCATGTGGGTCGGACACAGTTATTTGCTTCTAACCAAGAGAATGTGGCCGGGGGCAGGGGTGTGGATGTCACTTCCATGATCTGGTAACACATTACTGTGACTTCCATCTTGCCAACAGATCCTGGGCTGGCTTTGATAAAATAAGCTGCCACACTGGGGGACCTATGCAGTAAGGAACGGCCAGCAAACAATTGAGGCCCTTGGTCCAGCAGCCTTGAGGATCTGATTTCTGCCAACAACCATGATAGCCTGGAAGTGGACCCTGTCCCGGGAAGCCTTGACTGCAACCTGGGAAAACCTCCAAGCAGAGGGCCGAGCAAAGCCATGCCCAGATTCCTGACCCACTGAATCTTAGAGGATAAATGTGTTAACTACTCAAATTTAGGATAAGTTTTTAAGCAGCAATATATAACTAACATAATAATCTACATTTAAATGCACAATATTTGCATCAGAAGTTTAAAGACCATATACAAGTGTTATTATCTCCTGGCACTAGAATTTGAGAGATGTTATTTTGAATACTCCTCTATTTCCCAGTTTTCCTACAGTGATCAAGTATTATCAAGTTTAAATTAAAAATGGACCTCTTAGCCCTGGCCGGTTTGGCTCAGCGGTTGGAGCGTCGGCCTGCAGTACAAAGAGACCCAGGTTCGGTTCCCGCTAGGGGCATGTACCTCGGTTGCAGTTTGTCCCCGGCCCGGGTTGGTCGTGCGGGTGGCAGCCACTCGATGTGTCCCTTTCACATCGATGTTTCTCTCTCTCTCTCTCTCTCTTCCTCTCTCTCCCTCCCGCTCTATCTGAACAAAAAATGGAAAAATGTCCTCAGGTAGGATAAAAAAAAAAAAATGGACCCTTAGCCCGGCTGGTGTGGCTCAGTGGTTGAGCATCGATCCATGCACCAAGAAGTCGCCAGTTCGATTCCCAGTCAGGGCACATGCCCAGGTTGTGGGCTCAATACCCAAGTAAGCTCAATCCCCAGTGGGGGACATGCAGGGCCAATCGATGTTCTCTCTCATCAATGTTTCTATCTCTCTCTCTCCCTCTCTCCCTACCTCTCAAAAAAATAAAAATAAATAAAAATGGACCCTTATTTTCTCTTACCATTGCCCCTGAAAACTCTTATGCTTATAATATCTGCAATACCCACAAAGAAATGAAATTTGCTAAAGCAATTCATCCTGATCTCTATATGAATTACCACAATTTAAAAATGTTATGAAATTGTACCTCACTGAAAATCAGTCACAGCAGTTGAAGAAATACAGATGTGTCAAAAGAGTACCTAATTAAACTATCAGGACAGCATGAACACAAAAAAGCACCAACTAGCTCTAGCCAGTTTGGCTCAGCGGTTAGAATGTTGGTTTGCGGTCCGGAGAGACCCAGGTTCAGTTCCCACTAAGGGCATGTACCTCGGTAGCAGTTTGTCCCCGGCCCTGGTTGGGTCATGTGGGTGGCAACCACTCGATGTGTCCCTTTCGCGTCGATGTTTCTCTCTCTCTCTCTCTCTCCCCCTCCCTCCCACTCTATCTGAACAAAATATCAAAAAATGTCCTCGGGTGAGGACTAAAAGAAAAAAACAAAAAAAATAGCACCAACTAGCCCTGGCCGGTTTGGCTCAGCAGTTAGAGCGTCAGCCTGCGGTCTGGAGAGACCTGGGTTCGGTTCCTGCTAAAGGCACAAACCTCGGTTGTAGTTTGTCCCCAGCCCTGGTTGAGTCATGTGGGTGGTGACCACTCGATGTGTCCCTTTCATGTAGATGTTTCTCTCTCTCTCTCCCTCCTTCCCACTCTATCTGAACAAAATACTGAAAAATGTTGAGGATAAAAAAAAAAAAAAAGCACCAACTAGTGGTCATCATAGGCACGACCACACTCACCTGTGCTATTTGGAGAATACGGTCGATTGTGGACATTCGCATTTGCCCAGGTTGAGAGAGAAGATTCCCGTCAAGGCGTGAAAAATCGAAAGGGATCAGGCAGGTCATGGAGAGCCACAGGAGAAGCATGTAGCGGGTCTCCCAAGTCTAAAGAGTTAAACCAAAGTAAAATGATGCTTGTATATAGGATGAAGGTAACCCATACACCCCCCAGAGTCCTGGTACCCTCCCTGCCCACTCAATGCCCACCGCAGGCTCTTCAAACGCTGCTGACCTCTGAGCCTGGGGTGCCTTCCCTGTACCTCACCACACACACCCTCTTCATACAGACTTGGCTACTGCAGCAGACCAAAGAAACAGCAAAACTTAAACAGAGGAAAATCATAACACATCAGCATGAAGGCTTTTCTTCACTGACACCCTTCGTCATGCAATTAGCCTTTTGAGAAAGTGGAAGGCATATAAAAAGATAAAAACAGAAGACTTAAAGAAGAATAATTCTCAATTTCCAATAAAAAACAAGTGCCCTTGCCCTGGCCGGTTTTGCTCAGCGGTTAGAGCATCAGCCTGCTGTCCAGAGAGAACCGGGTTCAGTTCCCACTAAGGGCGCGTACCTCGGTTGCAGTATGTCCCCAGCCCTGGTTGGTCGTGCAGGTGGCAGCCACTCGATGTGTCCCTTTCATGTCGATGTTTCCCTCTCTCTCCCTCCCACTCTATCTCATCAAAAAAATGGAAAAATGTCCTCGGGTAAGGATTAAAACAAAAAAAAAAACAAGTGCCCTTAATTTCAGCAGTCAATAAAACAAGACTGCCCTTTGGTCCTGGAATCACCATGGGGGCAAGAAGCAGAGGAGAGTGGGAAAGGCCCACCCATGTCTTTAACTGAAATCAGGCACATTAGCAGACTGCTCACTGAGCTGTAGTCATCAACCGTGGGCTCTTCTGATGGCAGCGGTGCAGAAGCACTCCCGTCGCAGGCCTGACTGCTCTCCTCAGAAAGGCCCACTTATGCCCTGGCCTGTGTAGCTCAGCTGATTGAGCGTCATCCTGTGCACCAAGAGGTCACCAGTTCAACTCCTAGTCAGGACATATGCCCAGATTGTAGGCCTGATCACTAGCACAGGAGGCAGCCAATTGATGCTTCTCTCTCCCCCTCTTCCTTCTTCTCTAAAATCAATATAAACATTTAAAGAAAACACATTGGCAAGGTCACCTAGATTTTCTCCTTTGAAAAAAAAGGCCACTTGCCCTGGCCAGTTTGGCTCAGCAGTTAGAGCGTCGGCCTGCGGTCCTGAGAGACCCGGGTTCGGTTCCCGCTAAGGGCACGTACTTTGGTTGCAGTTTGTCCCCGGCCCTGGTTGGTCGTGCGGGTGGCAGCCACTCGATGTGTCCCTTCACGTCGATGTTTCTCTCTCTCTCTCCCTTCCTCTCTCTCCCTCCCACTCTATCTGTACAAAAAATGGAAAAGTATCCTCGGGTGAGGATAAAAAAAAAAAAAAAAAAGGCCACTTAGAAGACAGCCATCGCTCCCATCTGGGAACACGGATGTCAAGAGGGCTTCCATCTTTTCCTGAATGACCAGGGAGACTCTGTGCCTAGATATACAAATTATGAGACTTATATTGAACACTTGCTTTCCTTCTGGGAGTCAGAATCTTTAGGATGTGCTCAGCAGAGAACCCAAGTGACCAGCCCCCACAGAAACCCTGGGCTCTGGTCTCTGTGACTTTCTGTGGAGGATACTTCACACATATTGTCACAACTCAGTGCTGGGGAATTACGAGTGCCCTGTGACACAACAGGGAGAAGACTGGGATCTTCTTGCTAGTTTCTCCAGATGTCCCCCGGTGCCCTTTCCCTTTGCTGATTTTGCTATGAGAAATCATGGTTGTAGAATGACTATACAGTCGTCCCTCTCCAGTTCACACTTCGACTTTCGCGGCTTCACTCTATCGCGTTTTTTTCAAATATATTCATTAAAAAGTGGATGAAGCCCTGGCTGGTTTGGCTCAGCGGTTAGAGCGTCGGCCTGCAATCCAGAGAAACCCGGGTTCAGTTCCCACTAAGGGCATGTACTTCGGTGGCAGTTTGTCCCTGGCCCTGCTTGGTTGTGCGGATGGCAGCTACTTGATGTGTCCCTTTCACTTCAATGTTTCTCCCTCTATCTCCCTCCCACTCTATCTGAACAAAATATAGAGAAATGTCCTCAAGTGAGGATAAAAAAAAAAGTGGATGAAGACAGTGAAAATGATACAGTGTGCACTCGGTTGTCTGAGTCAATTATACACCTCTGTATTACAATTAAAATTAAAATTACTATACGTAAGGACTGTAGGCCTATGTATTCGAGCACCCCAGGAATCCTTCAAGGCCAGGTGCAACCACTAGAGTCTGGAATGGATTAACTGCAATCAACAAGGGACGACTATATGCTGAATCCTGAGTGGTCCAAGGTAATCACTGGACTTAGGGGTGGTCTTGGTGACCAACATAGTTATTTTAATTCTCAATTAGTTTACTTGCAGTATTATTTTGTATTGGTTTCAGAAGTACAGCACGGTGGATAATCATATACTTTACAAAGTGATCCCAATATTGCCAATACCCAGCTGACACCATACACACTCATGACAATATTACTGACTAGATCCTCTACCTTGTACTTTACATCCCCGTGACTATTCTGTAACTACCACAATCTGTACTTCTTACTCACTTCACCTCTTTCCCCTAGTCCCCCAACACCCCTCCTCTCTGGCAACCACCAGTCCGCTCTCTGTATCTGTAAGTCTGTTTGAATTTTGTTTGTTCATTTATTTTGTTCTTTAGATTCCACCTATAAGTGAAATTACACAGAATTTGTCTTTCCCTAATTTATTTCACAGAGCATGATACCCTCAACACAGGTATATTTCAAGCTCAAGAAAACTGGGTGGTGACCAAATTATTACCACACTGTGTAGGCATAGTTTCCTTATAAAGTGCATTATTTTAAAAGAAATTAATTTAAAGAAACATGTTAAAAAAAAAAGAAAAGAAAGCCAAAAGAATAAAAGAGAACGATACAAACAGCATAAGAAAAAGCTGAAAGAAACGGGCAGATGTTGCCAGAGCACAGGTGGAGCAGATGAGGGAAGAAAGAAGAGGGAGAGGACAGAACATGAGGGGGAAAAGGAACACTCACTTCATGGTCCTTAGGATTCTGGTTTGTAAACATATCTAAAACAGGCTGTACGTTGGCTACTTCATGAGGAAATAAACGAAGAAATGTTTTATATCCTCGAACCTACCAAATTTCAAAAAAAGGCATTGAATTATTATAAAATTAGAAAATACAGAAAGAAACAAAATTATCTTTTTCATCAAAAATGACCACTGAGCCCTGGCCAGGTAGCTCAGAGTATCATCCCAGTACACCAAAGCTGCAGGTTCAATCCCCAGTCAGGGCACATACAAGAATGAACCAAACTTGCCCTGGCCAGTTTGGCTCAGCGGTTAGAGCGTCAGTCTGTAGACCAGAAGAGTCCCGGGTTTGGTTCCCACTAAGGGCACGTACCTCAGTTGCAGTTTGTCCCCAGCACTGATTGGGGTTGTGTGGGTGGCGACTGCTAGATGTCTCTCTCTCACATCAATGTTTCTCTCTCTCTCTCTCTTCCTCCCCCTCTCCCTCCCACTCTACCTCAAGATAAATGAAAATATCTCCTAAGGTGAGGATAGAAAAAAAAAAAAAAAATCAACCAAACAAATGCATAAATAAGTGGACCAACAAATCGATGCCCCCCACCCCTTTGTAATTAGGTGGTACTTGATCAAACGCTAAATACCCTGGACATTGATGTAGCCAAAGGAACCCCTGGATCACTAATATCGGATCCCAAAAATATGGTACAAAGAGCCCAGCTGGTGAGGCTCAGTGGTTGAGCATCGACCCATGCACAAAGAGGTCATTGGTTCATTTCCCGGTCAGGGCACATGCCCAGGTTGTGGAGCAAATCCCTAGGGGGGGGCTTGCAGGAGGCGGCCAATCAATGTTCTCCCTCATCAATGTTTCTGTCTCTCTTTCCCTCTCCCTTCCTTTCTCTCCAAAATCATTAAAAGAAAAAAAAATTTTTTTAAATATATATATTTGGTAAAAACAGAAAATAGCCCTAGTCAGTGTGGCTCAGTTGGTTGGGTTTCTTCCTGTGCACTGAAAGCTGGTTCAATTCCCAGTCAGGGCACATGCCCAGGTTGCAGGCTCAACCCCCACAATGATGTTTCTCTCTCTCCCCTCAGTTCCCTAAAAATCAATAAAAAGTCCTGGCTGGTTTGGCTCAGCAGTTAGAGCATCGGCCTGCGGACTGAAGGGTCACAGGTTTGATTCCCGGTCAAGGGCATGTACCTGGCCTGCAGGTTCAATTCCTGGACCCAGTAGGGGTGGTGTACGAAGCAACCAATCGATGTCTGTCTGTCTGTCTCTCTCTCTCTCTCTCACATCGATGTTTCTCTCCCTCTACTCCCACTCTATCTAAAAATCAATAGAAAAATATCCCCAGGTAAGGAGTAACAAATAAATACATAAAATTAAAATAAATAAAAAATATTTCAAAAAATAAAAAACCCACAACCTATGTGTGCAACCCATCTTTCCCAAGAAAAAACATTTAGGAAGGTAACTTCTGGACCAAGTATATTAAGAAAGTGCTTTGTCAAAAGGAAAAAAATAAAGAAGGAAATTTTTAAGAAGTGTTGACAACTAGCCCGGCCGGTGTGGCTCAGTGGTTGAGTACTGACCCATGCACCAAGAGGTCACCAGTTCAATTCCCGGTCAGGGCACATGCCCAGGTTGTGGGCCCGATCCCCAGTGGGGAGCATGCAGGAGGTGGCCAATCGATGTTCTCTCTCATCAATGTTTCTCTCTCTCTCTCCCTCTCCCCTCCTCTCTCTCTAAAAACCAATAAAGAAAAAAATGTAATGAAAAAAAGAATAAGTGTTGACAACCATAGAGTACTTTGTAAACATTACCTTGGTGATAATATAAAGAAATTTAAAAGCCAGATGTACAAGGTCAGCTGGAGATGTCTCATCTTGCACTGTTTCCAACAACAAGTTCATCATCCATTCTAGACAGAAAGACATACAAAACACTTGCTATAAAATTAAACATTAATATTACATTAAAATCCAAAAGAAAAACAGGTTAAATTAGACAAATTACAGAACTTCAAAATAAAGCAAAAATTGAGAAATGAAAAAAGCAATAGAAAAACTTGTAACTATAGTTGAAGATTTCTATTCTCCTCTCGGGATTTGATAGAACGAGTGAAAAGAAAATCAGTAGGGGTACGATCATCTCAACAGATGCAGAAAATGCAGCTGACAACATTCAATATCGTTTTATGATAAAAACCCTCAACAAAGTGGGAATGGAGGGAACCTATCTCAACATAACAATGACAGCCACGGATGACAAGTCCGAGCTAGTACCACACGTGGTGCGGAGGAGCTGAGAGAGCCTCTCCTCTGGGACCAGGAACGAGAGGCGGCTTTCACGTCTACTCCATCCTGCACTAGAAGTCCTCGCCCAGCAACCGAAAAAAAACAAAATAAAAGGCATCTAAATTGGAAAGTAGAGAGGCGGCTTTCACGTCTACTCCATCCTGTACTAGAAGTCCTCGCCCAGCAACCGAAAAAAAACAAAATAAAAGGCATCTAAATTGGAAAGTAAAAAAACTCTCATTCTTTAAAGATGATATACTGTATAGAAAGAATACTAGTGATTCCACAAAAAGTAACGGAATAAGTGACTTCAGTAAAATTGCAGGACACAGAATCAATATAAGAACTCTCAGAAAGTAAAAACGGTCGAAATAAATTCAAGAACATCTGGGACAAGAAAGCTCAGAAAGCTCACCTTCCACAAAACCTGCTGGTCACTTAAAGAACAGCAGGCACAGCACCAGTCCACTTTCCAGAAGGCGCATGTGTGCACAATGAAGCTAGCCCTCTGTGCCCGCCCACTCTTCACAGTTCACAGCTTTAAATCTCACAGCCCTGTGGGGCAGGCAGTGTGGAGAGCCCCAGTTTCACAGCTGAGGAAACTCAGGCACAGAGTAGCAAAGTGGTAGGGCTAGGATATAAAATCAGTGGTGTAGCCCTGGCCGGTTTGTCTCAGCGGTTAGAGCATCGGACTGCGGTCCAGAGAGGCTCGGGTTCGGTTCCCGCTAAGGGCATGTGCCTCGGTTGCAGTTTGTCCCCGGCCCTGGTTGGGTCGTGCGGGTGGCAGCCACTCGATGTGTCCCTTTCGCATCGATGTTTCTCTCTCTCTCTCTCCCTCCCATCTATCTGAACAAAAAATGGAAAAATGTCCTCAGGTAAGGATTAAAAAAAATAATAAAAAAATAAAATAAAATCAGTGGTGTAGCTCCAGGGTTCACATGCCCATGCCTCCACCCCACCCTGCCTTTAGACTTAAATTATTATTGTTACCTTCCTCCTTCCCAAGTTCATTGCCAAAAGCATGTGCTAATTTTTGTAGAGAAAAAGAAAATTGTTATCAGTATGAAACAAACAAAAATCATTCCCCTGCATTAAATTCAAGTTAAGGGGACCCAAGCCTCACTGTGTCCACTTGTGAAACAGAATCACTCAAGGGAGTGCCTGCCTCAATTGCTGTGAGGACCACATGGTGATCCACATCAGGTACCTGCTCCTATACAACAGAACGCAGGTTAGAGCACACATGATGAGCAAAAGATGCGTTCTTTAAATAGCATTGAGGAAGAAAGCAGCTCAAATCCACTGCCCACAGACTTGAGGGACAATGAACTTATGTCACTATCAGAGTTCCACTAAGACTGACGAGCCAGGCCCTGCTAACAAGACCCAGACACTTCATTCTGACACCTTCTTCTGGCAAACCCACGTGCACGTACGCACGTGCACACACCCCAAGGCCTTTGTGATCATCCATAATTGGATGTCCAAAATACAGTCATCAGCCTCTATTCTTACCAAGGTGTGGGTCCAACAGATGAGGCTGCTGCTGGTATTTGTCCATTATCACTAAAAAAAAAATATATATGAGACTTAACGTCACTAAGGCAAACATGCACAGGAGCCTCAGAAACCTTTGAGTTTTCCCTCACTGACTTCCAGAGGCAGCTCCTCCTCAACCCAGCCCATGCAGCTGCAAAGAGCATAAGCCACCTGGGGTGAGATCCTCAGGGCCACTGTGTCCTGGCCACCTGCTCTTGGCTTGCTCAGCGAACCTTCCTCTTGGGTCTTCTTCCACCTCCTCAGAACCCTTCCTCTCAGCCAACCGTATGTTATCCCCTTCATTAAACACATACACACCCCCAGGGCTGTCCCACACACACTCACACACACACTCACATACACACACACCCAGGGCTGTTTCACACTCACACACACACTCACACCCCCAGGGCCATCTCTCACACACACACACACACACACCCCAGGGCTGTTTCACACTCACACACACACTCACACCCCCAGGGCCATCTCACACACACACACACACCCCAGGGCTGTCCCACACTCACACACACACACACACACACCCAGGGCTGTCCCAAACTCACACACACACACACACACACACCCAGGGCTGTCTCTCTCTCACACACACACACACACACACACCCAGGGCTGTCTCACACACACACACACACACACACACCCCAGGGCTGTCTCACACACACACACACACACACACCCCCCAGGGCTGTCTCACACACACACACACACACACACACCCCAGGGCTGTCTCACACACACACACACACACTCACACCCCCAGGGCTGTCTCACTCACACACACACACACACACACACCCCAGGGCTGTCTCACACACACACACCCCAGGGCTGTCTCACACACACACACACACACACACACACACACACCCCAGGGCTGTCTCACACACACACACACACACACACACCCCAGGGCTGTCACACACACACACACACACACACACACACACCCCAGGGCTGTCTCACACACACACACACACTCACACCCCCAGGGCTGTCTCACTCACACACACACACACACACACACCCAGGGCTGTCTCACACACACACACCCCAGGGCTGTCTCACTCACACACACACACACACACACACACACCCCAGGGCTGTCTCACACACACACACCCCAGGGCTGTCTCACTCACACACACACACACACACACACACCCCAGGGCTGTCTCACACACACACCCCCCAGGGCTGTCTCACACACACACACACACACACACACACACCCCAGGGCTGTCTCACACACACACACCCCCAGGGCTGTCTCACACACACACACACACACACACACACCCCAGGGCTGTCTCACACACACACACCCCAGGGCTGTCTCACACACACACACACACACTCACACCCCCAGGGCTGTCTCACACACTCACACACACACACACACCCCAGGGCTGTCTCACACACACACACACACTCACACCCCCAGGGCTGTCTCACACACACACACACACACACCCCAGGGCTGTCTCACACACACACACACACACACACACACACCCCAGGGCTGTCTCACACACACACACACACACACACCCCCAGGGCTGTCTCACACACTCACACACACACACACACACACCCCGGGGCTGTCCCACACTCACACACACACACACACACACTAACACACACACACACACACACACCCCCCAGGGCTGTCTCTCACACACACACACACACACACACACACACCCAGGGCTGTCTCACACACACACACACACTCACACCCCCAGGGCTGTCTCACACACTCACACACACACACCCAGGGCTGTCCCACACTCACACACACACACACACACTAACACACACACACACCCCCCCCAAGGGCTGTCCCGCGCGCGCAGGCGCCTTCTCCGGGCAGGAGCTCCCCCTGGGTCCCGAGCGCCGTCGGAGGGACAGGTGCCCCGAGGTCAAGGCGTCGCCGCACCACCGCCCGCACAGCGGACACGCGTGCAGGCCCGGAGCCGCGTTCGGTCAGGCGCCCCGCCCCGTCGGGTGGGCCGACAGCTCCGTGGGGACCGCGCGCGCCTGCGGCCGGAGCACTCTCGAACCCACGTTTGGCTTCTCCCCGGGCTCGGCTCCAGGAGACGGCCGACTCCCAGGACCGGGCCTTTCCTCCGGGAGGCGGGCACCTGCTTCCCCCTCAGCTCGCGCTCCGCCCGCCCGGCCCGCCCGCGGCGCCCGTGTCTAGTACCCGGGTCCCGCCGCACAGCGAGCACGCAGGGCAGCGCCGGGCCCCAGGCCGCCCGCCCTCGGACCCGCGTGGCCGCGCGCGCACCTCGGAACCGCTGCAGGGCGCCCTCGCGGACCGCGCCGTCCCCCAGCAGCTCCGGCAAGCGGCCCAGCAGCGCGCGCGTCTCCGCGCTGTCGCCGAAAGCCTCGAAGCAGCCGCCGCGGGCCAGGGCGCCGTCCTCCGGCCCGTCCTCCGACCCGTTCTCCATCCCGTCCTCCGGCGCGCCCGGCTCCTCGCTCACGCCCATCCTCGGCACCGAGAGCGGGACGCCTGAGGCGGACGCGAGAGCAGCAAGGGAGCCGCCGACGCAGCCCCGCCCAGCGACCTCCGACCTCACGGCTGGTCCCGCTACGGCGCGCGCCGGCCGTCCAAGCAAGGCGCGCGGAGGCGGGGCGAGCGCAGAGGGGGCGGGGCGATCGCAGAGGGGCGGGGCGAGCGCAGAGGGGGCGGGGCGGGGCCCGAGGGAACCGCCCCAGACGCCTGGAGCCGGGCGGCGGGAGCCACCGCTTCCGGGCGGAGTCGGGTGTCTGAGCCCGAGGGTGCGAGCGGGGCAGGGGAGGCGAGTCTGAGCCCGAGGGTGCGAGCGGGGCAGGGGAGGCGAGTCTGAGCCCGAGGGTGGGTAGCAGCCTGTTGCCCTGGGGGCGTGGCTGGCGTGCAGTCCACGCTGGGCTGGAGGGGAGACCCCCAGCCGGGACCCGCTGGCTCCCTCGGGTCTTCTCCCGCGCAGGCCCGAAGGTCCCTTCGCCGCCCTGGCCGGCTCTGCGCACACGAGTCCTGCAGACGGGTTCTGCCCACAGTGGCAATTTGTATTCAAGACCCCCAGATGGTCGGAAGGAAGCGTTTGGGGTGGACTTCGTCCTGGAACGTCTTCAACAGGCTCAGAGTCTGTGCTGGGAAGGAATCCCGCTCCAACCGCACTTTGCAGGAAAGAGAAATTAGCCTCGAAGAGTGGTAATCACGTGGTCTGGTTTCAGAGACACACGCGTGGATGGCCATTGTGCCCCGAGATCCTGCCAGGTACGGCCTGTCCCCAAGCAGATACTTTCAACGATGACAGCCTGGACATCCCAACCACCCGTACACCGCAGACATCCCAGCTGTGGGGCACACCCCACTGCCCAAGGCTCTCTCCCAGCCTACACCCTTCTTTTTATCGGGTGGAAAACTAACCGGCTGAAAATTAGGAAGTAGGAGAGAGGCTGGGCGGCGGCTGCAGCCCAAACGCTGGTCCCCACAACATTGGTGGACCTTCTTTGCATCTGTCCTAACTGAAGGATGGACTGGGAGCCCCACTCAGCCCCAGAAATGCTGGTTAAGAAGTGGGGTACAGCCTGGCTGGTGTGGCTCAGTGGTTGAGCGTGGAACCATGCACCAGGAGGTCACCAGTTTGATTCCGGTCAGGGCACGTGCCCAGGTTATGGGCCCGTTTCTATCTCTCCCTTCCTCCCTCTCTCTAAAATCAATAAAGAAAAAAAACTATTTTTAAAGAAGTGGGGTATGCCCCGGCCGGTTTGGCTCAGCAGTTAGAGCGTTGGCCCATGGACCAGAAAGACCGGGGCTTGGTTTCAGCTAAGGGCAGGCACCTCTGTTGCAGTTTTTCCCCGGCCCCGGTTGGGATTGTGTGGGTGGCAGCCAGTCGATGTTTCTCTCTCTCTTTTCCTTCCTCTCTCCCTCCCACTTTATCTGAAGATAAATGCAAAAATGTCCTCAGGTGAGAATTCAAAAAAAAAAGTGGGGTACAACTCATGGTTCCCAACTCTGCCTGAGCTCAGACAGGAGCCCCATGTCCACAGGGGGATGGGACACCATCTTCCACCTAAGCAAACCCCAAATCTGTGTCAATTTCTATACAATTATTGTGAAAATATCCAAACTTCAAATATCCCCCAGTCTGATATGTAATGAGCCCCTTGGAGCCCTTTCGGGTGGTTTGGGCACCCTGTAAACTATCCCAAGTGCACAGAGGATGGGGACTCCGGTGAAGTAAGACACAGCAAGTTCCATCCCTGAAGCCCCACTGACTTTATTAGTGCCTGCAGCTGCCTCTGCTGTTGCTGCCCCTAGGTACTTGCTAAGCAGGTGGGCAGGTGGGCAGGAGCACAGGCAGGGTGCTACTTGAGAAGTTTCCGCATGGTGCTCAGGGACGGGCTCCTGTACTCCCACCCAAAGTGGTTCCAGTGGTTCAGGTAGTTAAAGAGCTGGTAGAGCAGCAGCCGCCGGTCGAACCCTGGAGCCTTGGGGATCTTCTGGTGGTAGGCAGTGAAGAAAGACCTGGGGAAGCCGCCAAACATCAAGGCAATTGCCAGTTCAAACTCAGAATGGCCGTAGAAGGAAGCCGGGTCATAAATAATAGGCCCCACGTCGTCCTCAGCCACATTTCCTGACCAGAGATCCCCATGAAGAAGGGCGGGGACAATCTCTAGGCCGCTAAACAGATCTGGGATCTTCACCTAATAATAAATAATAAACAATTATTGGACACACAGTTATATGAGCCAGTCTCCTCATCCAGTACATGAAACTAAGGCAAAGGTTACCTTGTGTTTGTTCAGGGTCCAAGCAAGTCCAAAGATAAGGACCTTCTGACCCTAGGGGAGTATAACTTTGTCTTACTACTGACTACAGACCCAGGCCCAGAAGGTCTACAGCACTAATGATACCCGTACAGTATTCAACCTCAGAGGTTATGGTTTTATTTTCCTGTAGAACAGCAACCATATAACCTGAGTGAAGTTTTATTTGTTTATTTATTTATTTTGTGCCTAACTTAGCAAACTTTTATGTTCTTTTATGTGACAGTATATATATCTGCACCTCTTTTGTATCCCACTGGTTAATTCACTGAGGAGTTAAATAATATTTCTTCAATGTAGGCATATGTGAGTTTTGTTTTTAACACTCCGGGTGCTGTTTTGAAACCAGTCCCTCAGGCATCTTCTGCCCACATCTGCTCTGAGAGTCAAACATCCATGCTGTGGCAGAAAAGGAGGAACAGGGTGAAAGTGCACAAGAAAGTAAATGCCGCCGTTTACGATCCAGGTACCTGTGTTTCACATGAGCAAAGTCTGGGGCTTAATAACCTGGTGACCTCACAGGTGAGAGGTGTGCTCAGGGTCAGAGCATATCCTCAAGTCCCACACCATCAGGTCAGTAGTCAGACGCTATGTGTCCATAACTTGACCAGATCCGCTCCAAAGCTCAGTGGTCCCAACTCCAGAGTGCCCTACATCAATGGGGTGGGCTCACCAGAGGACAGTCCCTCTCTCAGAGGTAACTGCTGTGCCCACCTGTAGCTGTGACCAGAGCTCTCGTGCCTCTCGGTCAGCATAGTCCTTCTCAATGAGGTCCAGCTGTGCTTGGAGTCGGTATCGGGTGAAGAAGGTCGACCAGTCATCCTGCCACTCATTCACCTGGGCAGCAAGGGAGAGTAGGCTGATGCTCTAGCTGCCAGAGTCCAGCAAGTCAGTTATACAAGAAACCTGGCTAAACCCTAGATCAACCACTAAAAGAACGAAGCAAATGTTATAGCTAGGCAACAATGAAGATGAGCTAGAATCATTAAAAATACTCAGTTAGCCCTGATCGGTTTGGCTCAGTGGTTAGAGCGTCGGCCCGCAGACCGGAGAGTCCTGGGTTTGGTTCCCACTAAGGGCACATACCTCGGTTGCAGTTGGTCCCCAGCCCTGGCTGGGGTCGTGTGGGTGGCAACCAGTCGATGTGTCTCTCTCACATCAATGTTTCGCTCTCTCTCTCTTCCTCCTTCTCTCCCTCCCACTCTATCTGGGGATAAATGCAAAAATGTCCTCTGCTAAGGATTAAAAAAACAAACAAACAAAAAAAAACAACTCAGCCCGGCTGGTGTGGCTCAGTGGCTGAGTGTCGACCCATGCACCAAGAGGTCACCAGTTCAATACCCAGTCAGGGCACATGCCCAGGTTGTAGGCCCAAACCCCAGTGGGGGGCATGCAGGAGGCGGCCAATCAATGTTCTCTCTCATCAATGTTTCTATCTCTCTCTCTCCCTCTCCCTTCCTTTCTCTCTTTAAAATCAATAAAGAAAAAATTTTTTTAAAAAACACTCAGTTAATCCAAAAGAGCAGATAAATATGAAAAAGAGGAACAGAGAACAGATAGGACAAATTAAAACAACAAATAGCAAGATGACAGATCAACCTAACCAAATGAATAGGCACAGTAAACGTGAATGGTCTAGACACCCTAGTTAAATGACAGGCATGGACAAGTTAGAAAAATGAAGCAAGACCCAACTATAAGCCAGGTGCTGTGAGGATGTGGAGGAACTAAAACTCATACACCACTGGTGGAAATGTAAATGGTACCACCTCTTTGAAAAGATTTTGGCACTTACTTTTTTTTTTTAATCCTCACCTAAGGACATTTTTTCATTTTTTGTTCAGATAGAGTGGGAGGGAGAGAGAGAGAGAGAAAGAGAGAGAGAAACATCAACGTGAAAGGGACACATCAAATGGTTGCCCTCTGCACGACCCAACTAGGACCAGGGACAAACTGCAACCGAGGTACGTGCCCTTAGTGGGAACTCAACCCAGGTCTCTCTGGACCGCAGGCCAACACGCTAACTGCTGAGCCAAACCTGCCAGGGCAAGATTTTGGCACTTTCTTAAACAGTTTAATATGGCTCTGGCCGGTTTGGCTCAGTAGTGGAGCACTGGCCCTCGGACCAATGAGTTACAGGTTCGATTCCAGCCAAGGGCACGTACCTTTGTCCCCAGCCCTGGTCGGGGTCGTGTGGGAGGCAACCAGTGAATGTGTCCCTCTCACATCCATGTTTCTCTCTCTCTCTCCTTTTCTCTCCCTCTCTCTCTCACTCTATCTGAAGATAAATGGAAAAATATCCTCGGGTGAGGATTAAAAAAAAAGTTGCCCAGCTGGTGTGGCTCTGTGGTTGAGCATCGACCCATGTACAAAGAGGTTGCAGGTTCAATTACAGGTCAGGGCACATGCCCAGGCTGTGGGCCAGATCCCCAGTGTGGGGTGTGCAGGAGGCAGCCAATCGTTCTCTCTCATCAATGTTTCTGTCTCTCTCTCCCTCTCCATCCTTTCTCTCTAAAATCAATAAAGGAAAAAAATTGTATTAAAAAATACAAAGTTAATATGAGCCTATCACATGACCTAGTGATTTCCCTCTCAGGTATTTACCCAAGATTAATGGAAGAATTTGTCCACACAAACTCCTGTACACAAAGGTTCATAGCAGCTTTATGTGTGAAAGCAAAACCTGGAAACAACCCAGATATCCATCAACAGGTGAATAGATAAAACAGACTGTGGTTTATCCATCCAGTGAAGCGGACTTTTGACACAAGCAACAATATGGATGAATTATCAAAATGATTACGCTGAGTGGAAGAAGCCAGACCAGAGTACATACTGTATGATTCCATCTCTATTCAAGTCCACAAAATGCAAAAGTATTGATAGTGACAGAAAGCAGATCAGTGCTTGCCAGGAGCAGGGATCGATAGGAGAGAGAGATTACAAAGGGACATGAGGATGCCTTTGGGAGGTGATGGATAGTCTCATGATCCTGACTTGGTGAGCGGTTCATGGATATATATACATCAAAACTTATCAAATTGGCCCTGGCCGGTTTGGCTCAGCAGTTAGAGCGTCGGCCTGCGATCCAGAGAGACCTGGGTTCGGTTCCCACTAAGGGCACGTACCTCGGTTGCAGTTTGTCCCCGGCCCTGGTTGGCCCTGGTTGGGTCGTGCGGGTGGCAGCCACTTGATGTGTCCCTTTCACATCAATGTCTCTCTCTCTCTCTCTCTCTCACTATCTCTTCCTCTCTCTCCCTCCCACTCTATCTGAACAAGAAATAGTAAAATGGCCCTGGCCGGTTTGGCTCAGCGGTTAGAGCATCGGCCTGCGGTCTGGAGAGACCCGGGTTCGGTTCCCGCTGGGGGCACGTACCTTGGTTGCAGTTTGTCCCCGGCCCTGGTTGGGTCATGCTGGTGGCAACCACTCGATGTGTTCCCTTTCACGTCGATGTTTCTCTCTCTCTCTCTTCCTCTCTCTCCCTTCCACTCTGTCTGAACAAAAGATGGAAAAATGTCCTCGGGTGAGGATTAAAAAAAAAAGAAATAGAAAAATGTCCTTGGGTAAGGATTAAAAAAAAAAACTTACCAAACTGTATACTTTAAAATAGGTATGGTTTATTTTGTGTCAATTATACCTTAAGATAGTTTTTTTAAAATCCTCACCAGAGAATATTTTTCCATTGATTTTCAGATAGAGTGGGAAGGAGGAAGGGCCGGGGAGAGAGAGAGAAACATCTATGTGAAAGAGACACATGGACTGGTTGCCTCCCGCACTACCCCAGCTAGGGCCAGGTATCACAAACGAGGTACATGCCCTTGACTGGAATCAAACCCATGACTCTTTGGTCCTCAGGTCGACACTCTAACCGCTGAGCCAAACAAAACAGGGCAATAATTATTTTTTTTTAAGATGCAAAGCTTCCCTGACCAGTTGCTCAGTGGTTGGAGCATCAGCCTACAGACCAAAGAGTCTCGGGTTCAATTCTAGTCAAGGGCACGTACCTGGGTCGGAGGTCCGATCCCCAGTTGAGGTCATGCAGAAGGCAACCAATCGATGTGTCTCTCCCACACTGATGTTTCTCTCTCTTTCTCTCTCTCTCTCCCTCCCTCCCTTCTACTCTCTCTAAAAGTTAATGGAAATGGAAAAGTATCCTCAGGTGAGGATTAACAAATAAATAGCCCTGGCCAGTTTTCCTCAGCGGTTAGAGCATCAGCCTGTGGACCAGAGCGTCCCGGGTTCGGTTCCCACTAAGGGCTGGTACCTCGGTTGCAGTTTGGCCCCGGCCCTGGTTGGGGTTGTATGGGTGGCAGCCACTCAATGTGTCTCAAGTCGATGTTTCTCTCTCTCTTCTCCCTCTCTCCCTCCCACTCTATGTGAAGATAAATGCAAAAATGTCCTTGGGTAAGGATTAAAAAACAAATAAATAAATAAAAAGATACAAAGCTGATTTCATACAAAGGGCTACTTTGCGCAACTCCTTAGGGGAGGAACTTTTTCGAGAGCAGACCTGATCTCCCTGGTCAGCTTTGGAGACACTCCCAGTGCTGGGTGCTCTGGTCACTAAGCCCCTGGGTTCAGCCCCTTGGTGCTAGGAGCACCTCAAGAGCAGGTGGGAAGGCCACTCCCTAAACAGCCTGAGGCACTCAGGGTGGCCTCCTGTGATTCCCTACCTGCCTGCCCAGGTCCCAGTGTCTGAGGCTCTTGTCTTCCTCCTGGGTGACCAGGTCATAAAGATACAGACTGAGTGTTGGGCGCTGGAGACCAGCATTGGCTAGCCCAGTCCATCCACCTGGACAGAGGCGCTGGGTAGTGCGGCAGTTAGAAGCCAGACTGTGGGTCAAATCCTGAATCCTCCACTCATCAGCCACATGACCTCAGGATCGTCACTTGGCTTCCCTGTGCATCAGCTTTTTCATCTATAAAATGGGTCAATAACATCACTCACTTTATAGGGTTGCTATGGCAACTGGGTGAGTTGGGCCCGATAAAGCACTTAGAATGGTGCCTAGGGTACAACACGTCTATCATGCAGCCAAGCCAGTGGTCCCACCTGGGCTCAGCTCACCAGGTCTCTGACAAGCCTGCCGCCACCACTCAGGGTCGCCCCACCAATGGACGCAGCCCCCAAAGGAGCAGGGAGCCTCCTGGAACATGGGGCCAGTCCTAGGGCCATCCTTTCATAGCTCAAGGAGGTGGACCAGGTTGTCCTCCTATCCCTCACCCCTTCCTGGCTAGGCTGTAGCTGACCTAAGTTGGCTTGTTGATCCTGGAATCTGAAGGGGCACTCAAGGGCCGGCTCTGCCCCTCACAGACCAGCCCTTCTCATCTATTTCAGACCCTGGGGTTCTGTGTACGATTCCATCCCTCAGTTCTTGAAAAGCAAGTCTTTGGAGACCCCGCAGCTCTTAAACGCAACACCTGAAGCAGGACAACAAGCCACGTTCTGCCACACTTGCCGGGCACTGCTGTGTCGGGGCTGGCCCAGGCAGGTGTGCACCCCCAGGGCGCTGGCCTCTGCAGAGGTTTATGGAGTCTTACCAAGCCCCATGTGTGAGGGCTGCCCCTTGGCTGGGATCCCTAAATCTGCCTCAGTGACACTGGAGCATTGCCCTGTGCCCACACTGTGAAGACACACAAAAGGCTGGCCACTGTGTGTGACTGAACTTACTGAACTGCAATGTCCAGAATGAGCAAACCCAGAGAGACAGCAAGAGACTCGTGGTTACCAGGGTGTGGGGAGTGACCGCTAATGGGTACAGGGTTTCCTTTGGGGGGCAGAAAATGTCCTGAAACTAGATAGCAGTGATGGTTGCACAACACTGTAAATCTACTAAAAACCACCGAATTGGCCCTGGCCAGTTTGGCTCAGCGGTTAGAGCGTCAGCCTGTGGTCCACAGAGATCCGGGTTCAGTTCCCGCTAAGGGCGTATACCTCAGTTACAGTTTGTCCCCGGCCCTGGCTGGGTCGTGTGGGTGGCAGCCACTGGATGTGTCCCTTTCACTTCGATGTTTCTCTCTGTCTCTCTCCCTCTCCCTCCTGCTCTATCTGAATAAAAACAATGGAAAAATGTCCTCGGGTGAGGAAAAAAAAAACACCTAATTGGACATTTTTAAATAGTGGAGTTTATGTCATGTGAATTACATCTCAATGGTACCATTAATTTTTTTAAGGCCCCAGGAGAAGAACTGACTGGCCAGGACTTAATCCCTGACCTCACATGCTGCTTCAGCCTCCACTCAGCCCCCTGTCCCTGTCCCTCATTCATCTCAAGTTAGGTGCCCTCTTGAAACGGGACCTTCGTACCTGCTGTTCCTTTTGCTTGGAATGCTCTCAGCTCAACCCCCATCCCAGGTCTCACAGCTCACCCTCTGCTCTCAGAAACCAGATGGCCAACCTTCCTGGTGGCTGGGGACTGGCATGCTATCACACACAAGGGGTGGGGTGCCCCGCATTAGGGTGTTGGGAGCGGCTGTTAGCGAAGCAGACGCATCGGAAGCCTGGCACTCACCTGCGGAATGAAGCCGCAGCACGTCACCGCATGGAAGCCGAACTTGGTCACATGCTGGAGCTCAGCACCCTCAGCCCTCCGGCCTATCAGCAAGAAGAGATGTATTTCTCTTAGATGCCAGACCCTCGCAGAGCATCCGGACAGGCCTGGCTGCACTCTGGAACGTGGGTGTCTGAGGCTGTACCACCCCGCTAACAGCTGGCAATCAGGCAGCACCTCGGGTCAGCCAGGACAGCTGGCCTCAGGGCACCGGGCAGCAGGGCTGGTTAGAAAAGGGGTCGGGAGCCCATTCTACTTGTTTATCAGCTCCATCAGTTCCCAGCTAACAATCTAATGTTCACGCTGAGTGCAGCGGGAGATAGCATGCAATCCAACCTGATGTGGAAACGTCACCCTGAGCACCAGTGCAGGGCGGGTGCACCTGGGTCAAGGGAGCATGGAGACGATCCGAACGCACCCACTGTGTTCTCCTCCTCCCTCAACTTGTCCCTGAGCTTCTGGTTGTAGAGGTGTAAGTCTGCCACCTGGTCTCCAAGTTTTGATGCCTGACTGAGGAGAGAAGAAATGCAGCCCATTAGAATAAGAAATATTAACAACCAGCTTGCATTCTAATTTTTAAAGATGTTTTAAATGCCTCAAAAATTACTCTCCATGCGCTGGCCAGTTTGGCTCAGCGGTTGAGCGTCGGCCTGCAGACCAGAGAGTCCTGGGTTCGGTTCCCACCAGGGGCACGTACCAAAAAAAAAACAAAAAAACTACTCTCCATGCTATAAAAAGTGAGAAACAAACAGCAGGCAGTGACCCTTTCCAAAAAGTAGTGTAAAATTACCGAGACTGGGGAAGCAGGCAAACGTCAGCAGAAGCCTTAGGCAGAACTGAGAATTATGGGGTAAATGCTCAAAAAGTAAATATAAGTTCAAAACCATCTCACAGCCTGGCCAGTGTGGCTCAATGGTTGGAGCATTGGCTAAGAACCCAAGGGTGGTGGGTTTGCTTCCCTGTCAAGAGCACGTACCCAGCCCTGGCCGGTTTAGTTCAGCGGTTAGAGCGCTGGCCTGCGGTCCAGAGAGACCTGGGTTCGGGTTCCGCTAAGGGCACGTACCTCGGTTGCAGTCTGTCCCCAGCCCTGGTTGGGTCGTGTGGGTGGCAACCACTCCACATGTCCCTTTCATGTCGATGTTTCTCTCTCTCTCTCTCTCTTTCTCTCTCTCTGTCTCCCTCCCACTCTATCTGAACAAAATACCAAAAAATATCCTCGGGCCCTGGCCGGTTTGGCTCAGCGGTTAGAGCGTCGGCCTGCGGTCCTGAGAGACCCGGGTTCGGTTCCCGCTAAGGGCGCGTACCTCGGTTGCAGTTTTTCCCCGGCCCTGGTCGGTCGTGCGGGTGGCAGCCACTCGATGTGTTCCTTTCACGTCGATGTTTCTCTCTCTCTCTCCCTTCCTCTCTCTCCCTCCCACTCTACCTGAGCAAAGAATGGAAAAATGTCCTCGGGTGAGGATAAAAAAATATATATATATATCCTCGGGTGAGGATAAAAAAAAAAAGAGCACGTACCCAGTATGTCTCTCTCACCTCACGGTATGTCTCTCTCACCTCAAGGTCTCTCTCTCCCTCTCTCCCCCTCCTCTTTCCCTCCCTTCCACTCTCTCTAAAAATCAATCCTGGGGTGGAGGTTAAAAAAAAAAACAAAGAATGGCAGGTGGGCCCTGGCCAGTGTGACTCGGTTGTGCGTTGACCTGTGCACCCAAAGGTTGCCAGTTCAATTCCCACTCAGGGCACATGCCCGGCTCCAGTAAGGGGCTTGCAGGAGGCAGCCGACTGATCTCTCTCTCTCTCTCTCTCTCTCTCACCTGCTCAAGCTCCTCATCTTCAGATGCTCCATCACAAAGGCGGCCCCACCCCCAGGCAAGTCGATGACCTTGATGGGCCGAGGTGCTCGCAACAGACCAGTGCTCCGGAGGGCCTCCAGGCTTGCCACTTCGCCCTCAAACATCTGCCGGGCCTGCATCCAGAGCACCCCCATGAGCTCCCACTCCACGGGGGCTTCTGCAGCCAGGCTGTGGCTCCCAGCCCTCAACAGAAGGAAGCCACCCCCTGGGATCACAAGCACCCAGGACCATCAGTTACTGAAAACTGGCTGGGGAGCAAGGCATGAGCTCCTCAGAGTGGGTGCAACATGAACCCCTTCAGGGAGGAAGGGGCTGCAAGGGTGAGGCTGAGCTGGGGCTTGGGGTGGGCAGGATGCTGATGCTCCTGCTGGGAGCACTGCCCTGAGACAGGAGGAAACACAGGCCACAGGGGAGGTTCCAGCAGTGCTGGGGGTTCCATGGGGTGCTGCAGGACACCAAGGGCTGTCGGGGGGTGCCGAGATGTGCCTCGAAATGTGGGTTAGTGGAGGGGCTGGGGCTGGGCTTGTGTTTCCTTCCAGTTGCCCACCCCCTCACTGCCTTGAGCAATCACAGCAAAGGGAGGAGTAGCACAGGGTGGCCTGGGGTGGCATGCAGCAGTGAGTTGGGCAGGGGGAGGAGGGGGCTGGGAGGTTGTCTACACCTGGCCTTGGTCCAGTGCTCCCTAGAGAAGAACACCCAGCAGGGCCTGGGGGCTAGGAAGAAGCCCCAGCCCCCACGCCCTGGAAAAAGATAAGCCACCCCTCAAAGTGGTGGAACTCTCACCTTAGGTACACTCTGCCACAGTTAAAAATGTGCTTATTAGCCCTGGCCGGTTTGGCTCAGCAGTTAGAGTGTCAGCCTGAGGACCAGAGAATCCGGGGTTCGGTTCCCACTAAGGGCACGTACCTCGGTTGCAGTTTGTCCCTGGCCCCGGTTGGGGTCATGTGGGTGGCAACCACTCAATGTGTCTCTCTCACATTGATGTTTCTCTCTCTCTCTCCCTCCTGTTTTATCTGAAGATAAATACAAAAATGTCCTCGGGTGAGGATAAAAATAATAATAAATGTGCTTATTAACCCTGGCCAGTTTGGCTCAGAGACTAGAACATCAGCCTGCAGACCAAAGAGTCATGGGTTCGATTCTGGCCAAGGGCATGTACCTTGGGTGAGATTCATCCCTGGCCCTGGTCAGGGTTGTGCAACCAGTAGATGTGTCTCTCCCACATCGATGTTTCTCTTTCTCTCTCCCTTCCTCCCTCCCACTCTATCTGAAGATCAATGGAGAAATATCCTCGGGTGAGGATTTTTTTAAAAATGTGCTTATTAGTGTGGTTTGTAAGCGCCTCTGGCTATAGAATCAAACCTCATGGATGAGACCAAAGCATCTATTCCCACACAGCAAAAGAATCCATCCTTGAATTTCAAAACGCCTGAGGTGAGCCATCCTCCTAACTGTGAACCTACACCTGGAATCCTGGGGAGAGGTAGCCAGTGCCCTGGGCCACGCTCATCACCTGTCCTGCATTCACTGAACACCTATGATGTGTTGGCATTGAGGGTTTCAAGAGTGAGTGGTGGGGTCCCCACCTGGAGCGCCTTCAGGATCCAGCTGTGAAGATTCCAGAGCCAGGGTAAACCCTGACCCCAAACTGCTTTCCCGTGGGTGAGGCTTATCCTTCTGAGGGATTGGGTTTCTGAAACCAGACTCAACAGTGCCTGGTGCCCACAGAGCAGGGATCCTGGCCCAGTCCCCACCCCCATCCATTCCAGATGCAGACAGTGCTTTGGGGGAAATGGGAGGGGTCTCTCTGGATTCCCTCCAGCTCACAGCCAGCACCCCCACCACAGCGGGATCCCGAAGGGGCCCAGCCTGCTCTCAGGGCCCGGTGCACACACTGTGGCTAACTCTCTCCACTGGTAAAGTGTTGTATTTTCCATATACTTTTAACAGAAATAATGTAAGCAAGAGATGGAAACCAGGTCCAACACCAGCAGAGTCCGTGAGTAGAGGGAATTGGAGTCTGGTCCTAGCAGTGTCTGGGGGTCCTGGCTTCTTTCCTGCCTCTTCACACCTGCTGGGGGGTGGGTGAGCCTTGGGGAAACTGAGCCCAGAGCTGGGCAGGAGAGTGACAGAGGGAGCAGACCAGGTCTCCAAGCCTCACCACCATGCTTGACAGGTGAAGAAATTAAACCAAACAACCAAGTTTTTCATGTGTGCACAGGTAAATAGAATCAATCTTGCAGGGGACGAAACCCTGGGATTCTGCAGAAAATGCCTGAGCCCTGCTGCCTGCAGATGTCCGTCCAAGGCCACAGGCTGAGCCTGGGGCAGTGACGCCAGGCCTGACCAGTAAGGGCCACCTTCACCCGTGCCCCTGTCCCGTGCCCCATCCCCCTTTGCCCACCCCTCTCCCTCTACCCACCCTCTCCTCTTCCTACCCTCTCTTCATTCCCCAGCAGCTCCAACCTCTCCCCTCTCTCCAATCCCGCACCTGCGCCCTGCGGTTGACCTTGACAAACACAGGCCCCGAGTCCGTGTCGTAGGCGCGCCCCTCGCTGATGCAGCCCCCGCCTGGGCTCCCGAAGGCGCGCAGAGTCGTGGTGCGCAGTTCGGCCCGCAGCAGCTGCTCCATGGGGGCAGGAGACACAAGAAACACAGGGACCAGGAGGGGGATTCGAGGAGGGACTGGGGGATGGTGCCGAAGCCCAGCCAGAGACGTGAGCTCGCCGCTGCCCAGGCCGCTGTCTGCGGGGAAGGCGACTCGTCCCTGTGGCCTGAGGGCTCTGAGCGCTCTGGGCGTCCAAGCCTCCCAAGCCCCGCCTCCCCGCCTCCCCGCCACCCCGGGCCAGTCCACGCTCCGCCCAGTCTTCTCCTGGGAGGGGTGAGGGAGGAGTGAGGACGGAAGGGAGTGGGGAGGGAGAAGAGAGGACGTCTCCAATAGGGGGACAGAAGTGTGTGGGGGGGTGCTCTCCCCATGTGTCTGCATAGTCAGTGTGCCTGGACAGTCCAGATTGGGGTTCACTCCCAGGGGAGCTCCCAGGGCCCTGTATGTAGGACCCAACCCCCTGCACAGAGGCTTCGTGAGCCCTCACAGGATTTGGACCTCTCCCACTCAGCAGGACAAAACCCAGGGGAGACCCAGCTGTCCGGAGGCTGAAGGTCATAGGCCTGGCTAGGTGTCACACTGGCCAGACAAGATTGGGGGTCTCAACTACATCTTGCCAGGCCCAGGCACTGCCCAGTAACACCCACTGCTGGCCTTGTGTTTGCTCATTAGGGCACCTGGTGCGCATCAGCAATAGATAGAGGCAGCTCTGGAGTTTCGGATAGCAGGTGAGGTAGCTGACTCCACCCCGCATGGGACTCCTGATTACAGACCACAGCCCTTGGAAGGAACTTTCAAAACACACACATGCCCATGTGCAATGAGCATGCGCACACCTATGCACAGGTGTATGTATGCCAAGGAGCAGGTGGGAGGGGAGAGATCTGTCTGTAGGGAGGGCCCCTCCATGTCCTCCTCCTCCCAGATGGTCTCAGTCTGGTGAAGCCCACCCTCCTAGTGCATCCTGAAAGGGCTGGTGACAAGTTTCCAGGCTGGAAATGAGATCCTGCTCCCTCATTTGGGGTTAAGAAGTTTGAGAACATTTGATTCTTGGTCTTGGTGTGGAAACTGTTCTCTCTGGAGGCTTTACAGTCTGCTCTGTCACTGGTACCGGACGGTTCCCCAGGGAGATGCCTGGGGTGTCTGCTATCCCCTGACTGTGAAGACAGAGCCCAGTGGCACCAAGAGGGGAAACACAGCCCGTGGCTTGGAGACGTAAAACACTGCTCAGAAAAGGGACACCAGGAAGGCAGCCGAGGCAGAGCCCCAGGGACATCAGGAAGCCAGGGCAGGGGCCAAGGGGCAGGGTCCTGAGGCCCTGGCTGCAGCCTGGAGCCAGCAGGGGCCTGGGGACACTACCCAGGTGTCACTGCCAGGCCATCATCCTGGTCTCCCCCGGAACTGCACTGGAAACATGCCCCCTGGCAGATGTCTCGGGAAGGAGGGGGACTCTGCCCCCTCTTCAGAATGCAGAGATCGCTGTAGTTGGGCTGCTCTTCTATACCGTCACCCCCCACCACTGATTAATATTTTGGAACACATTCCAGTGTGTCCACACACTTTGGCCTGAGAGGAAACCCTGTCAGGGAGGCAAGTTCCCACACAAGGTTTGGAAGCACACTTCCCTGGGAGAACGTGGGAAGGACAGAGGGAGCACGGTTCCCTCGAGGAAGTTCATCTTCCACAATCCCATGGGCGTCATCATCAGCCCACTTTTTTTTTTCTTTTATTGATTTTAGAGAGAGGGGAAGGGAGAGGGAGAGAAACATCGACGAGAGAGAACATCGATTGGCTGCCTGCTACATGCCTCACACTGGGGATTTGGCCCACAACCTGGGCACGTGCCCTGACTGGGAATTGAACCAGCGACCTTTTGGTGCAGGGTCAACGCTCAAACACCGAGCCACACCGGCTGGGCCATCAGCCCACTTTATAGATGAGGAATCCAAAGCTCAGGTAACTTACCTAAGACTCCGCCCTCCCGCTGGTCCTCCGACCCTAACTGCAGCCTGGTTTCCGTGACACCAGAGGTGGTCACTGGCTTCTCAGAGGGCTGCTCTGGTCCCTAAGCCTCCACTAGGACTGCTGGACAGTCCTGTGTGATGCAGTGTGAAACGCTTGTCAGGTTCTGATCTGGGTGGAGCAAAGTGGTCTCTTCTTCCAGGGGTTGAAGCACTGCAGTGAATTCCACTTCTTTCCAAACTTGAATTTTCCTCTTATTTTGGCTGTAATTAGCTTCCCTCTGAATTCCAAAGTATGCCAAACACCACCCAGAAAGAGTCCCACTCGCCTTGACAGTTCCTGGGAGTCCCTTCACATTGCCCTGCAGACATCAGACGCACAGCAGACTGAACGGGTCCCCCACAGGCGGCTGAACACAGCCACACGTGGCCCTCTCGGAACCTCGGCTTCTCACGCGGAGGGCACTCCCCCGGGCTCACGAGCTCTTTCCGTTGTCTCAGCCCATGTTCTGAGTCACAAACCTAGAATGAGCCTAAGGGATCTCAAAAAGCCAGCCCGTAAGCTACACACATTGCCTCTCGAGAGCCTTCCAGGCCTCACCCTCGTTCTGTTTGAGGCTGCATTGGTTCCATGGTTTCCTGGCATTTCAGAAGCAGCAAGTTAGATCCAAAGGAGGGAAAAGTGAGCAGGATTTGGGGATAAAGGGAAATGAGTGGAAAAAAACAACAGTCTCACACGAAACTTTAATAATAGTGATATGCCGTGAACTGAAAAGGATGGCTCAGCCCCCTACACCCAAGGCCCCAGAAAGGACAAAGACAGGTGGGTAGCAGTGTGGTGACTCTATCACGAAGGCATTAAAGTACATGGGTGTCATCTGTTCAAGGCAGGAAAGCCTGTTTTGGGTTCACAGCTTTGGGGTGGAAAGCTGAACTTCAGTTATCTAGAGACACGCTTCTGTGGAAAGGTTGATACCCCAACAGTAGCAGGTAGTGAGGTATTTTGATACAATAGTCCCGTGTTCAATAAGAAATGAGTACAATTGGCCCAGCCGGTGTGGCTCAGTGGTTGAGCGTCGACCCTGCACCAAGAGGTCGCAGGCTCAAGGCCCGGTCAGGGCACATGCCCAGGGTGTGGGCCTGATCCCCAGTGGGGGGCAGGCAGGAGGCGGCCAATTGATATTTCTCTCTTTCTCTCCTTCTCCCTTCTTCTCTCTAAAATCAATAAAGAAAAAATATTTTAAAAAGGAAAAAAAAGAAAGTACAACTGTACCTCGATGAGACCTGAGGGACCTGGATGGGTGCTCGGGGCCGTGGCCATCTCCCTGGACCTCCTGTCCTGGAGGCCTCCTGAGATGCTCACGGCTGCCCCGAAGAGCACGAGCCTCTCTGTCTCTTCTCCCTGACCAAGGAGCCGTACCCACAGCCCATCCCCATGGGTCTAGCCAAACCTGCCCCAGTTCAGATTCTGCAGGCTGCTCTGCAAGGACAGGAGGCTCCTGTCAGGACACAAGTCACACAACTGTCCCTTGCAATGCTGTCTCTAGATCACACCCCCATCTGTGTCAGGCTAGCCAGCTCAGAAGCCCAGAAAGCTTTCGGGGAAAGACAATCCACAAAGAGCAACTCTGGGTGGGCCCGAGGCCTCTGGGCCAGAGGCATTTAATATTTTGTTATGAATATAAAATTAGGCACAAAAGTAAATATTTTTGGATGAGCAATCACAGCAAATTGCTCAAAGTTTGAAAAGCTGACAAATACAGCAGCATCACGAGCCGGGAAACCCGCGAAGCCGTTGGTCAGCTGTGCCGCACGCCTGCAGGGGTTGGGGGGCACTCCTCCAACCCCCCGCTGGCTATCCTCATCAGGGGTCTCCTGAGGGGCCGCACCAGCGCTGACTGTCTCCCTCCAGAAGACTGAAGTGTCCTGTGCACGTTCGGGGACGCTCAGGCCCCAGCTCTCATTCCTGGTAAGGCTGTGCTGCCACGAAGTGACGTCTGGCCCGAGGAGGCTGCTATGGGGCTGGACCAGCCACTCCCTGCACCTGGTACAGCATCCACGAGGCTTCTCTCAGGAGGTCTGGGCCATCCTCCTGGTCTGACAGCCCAGTGGCCTGTCACTTCCTCCGGTGACCAGGCAGCAGGGGAGGCTGCCTCCCTTCCTCAGCCTCTCGGAACCCAGAGGGGCCTGTAAGCAACTCCACTCCACCTCCACAGGGCACCAGAAGGCGACCCTTCCTCTCACCACTGACTGTGGGTCCCAAAACACCAGTCTGGGCACTCGTCTACTCGATGGTTCCACGAATTACACGCACACTCTTCTTTTAAGATCTTCTATCTGCCCTGGCCAGTTTGGTTCAGTGGTTAGAGTGTCGGCCTGTGGACTGAAGAGTTGTGGGTTCGATTCCAGTCAAGGGCACGTACCTCAGTTGCACTTCGATCCTCAGACCTGGTTGAGGTCGTGCGGGAGGCAACCAATCGATGTGTCTCTCTCACATCGATGTCTCTCTCTCCCACTCTGTCTGAAAATCAATGAAGAAATATCCTCGGGTAAGGACTTAAAAAAAAAAAAATCTCCTATCTAAATAAACACACATTCTATGTAGCGTCTACCCACTGACCTTTCTGCTCCTGCCTGATTAACCACAGAAGAGAAAGAGAAGCCCTGAGCCATACCCCCCAAAACGGTTTCAGTTGCAGGATAATTATCTTTGTGGAAGACCTCAGGTCTGGGTACCCCCAAAACCAAACTGTTCTGAGAAGCAGGTTTGTGTTAATGATACAACAGCATACGTGCCATCATGAGGAAGCTGACTTGGGCACCCTTTCCCTCAGAGACAGTTATTTGTTTCCCCAGGATCGAAAAAAATAAGCTAAAACCCTGGCACACGGTCGTCTAGGAATTACTAGGTTTCAAAGCCCGATAACCACAAGCTCTTAAAAGTCAGTCCTCTCCCACTTCCCACTAAAACCAGAACTCTGAAGGCATCATTCTGCTTCTGAACTACACCGAGGGACCTCAACCTCTGCACAGAAATAGGAAAATGAATCCATCCTCTCCGACCGCCTCCAGTCCACTGGTGTCCTGACCCTGCTGGTTCCCGCCCCACCCTAGGCCCAGCCCAGACCCAGTGGGTGGCCACAGATTCTTCACAAAATGCAGTTCAACAGTTGCTTTCCAGCATTTACTGTATCTCAGGGTGACCACAAGCAGCAGTTAAACTGCAGTAAGGCAAATATGAGAGTCCTCAGCCCTTATTTTGAAGCCATTCTCTTATTCAACAAAGTCAAGGGAAAAAATTGCTCTTTTAAGAAACAATTTATTATAATAACACATTACAAAGGTTTCTTGGCAAAGAGCTAGGAAAACAATGAATTATGATTTAAATGAGGGAAGTAGTCTCTTGCATCATTGAAACCACTGAAAAGTTTATGCAAAAGGATTTATCAGCATCAATGCCATTTGTGAATGTTCCTCATCACTCAAGACGAAAGGAGGGAGAACACTGGCTTAGGGCTGGCTTTATCAGGTACAAAGGAAGGGCAACTCGGCAAGCTGAGGAAGCCAGACAAGATGGGGTGCGAAGAGGAGCTATTCAGTGGCTCCTAAATCTACTGAGGACTCCCTGAAGCTGGCAGTTTGGTCACTCCCCAAATCATTTCCAGACCTGCTCAGCCTGCGGCTGGTCCAGAGGTCACACAGAAAACAAAGGGAATGTGCTCAACTTAGGAAATGGTCCATTAAGATGCTCCTAGTAGGACAGTTTCATGCCTAGACCCAAGCCTTAGCCATCGAGCAGCATCACCCTGAACGTGAGAGCCATACCTGGAGACGAGACAGGAAGGGTGATGGAAAGGGGCCCTCGGCAGCCGTGCGTGGGCACTGGCCACTTCCCTTCTCTACCTCTGGGGCAGCTGCATGGTTCAACCTAGCCCAAGCTCCACAGGTCCCTCTGTTCACATCACATTGCTAGTATGGTTTATCCAGCTACAAAGTCTAATGAAATGTACAACTTTAGGATGACGGATGACAATACCTTTCTTCTGTGATATTACATACTTTTCAAGGCTTAGAAAGTTGGTCTGAAGCTATTCCAGCTGCGTGGAGAAATGGAGAAAAACCCCTGACGAAGAGGACTGTGGAGAAGCAAGAGGGGCAGGCCACAGGCATCTGGTTAGGCGCTGGTACACCTGAACTCGAGGCCCAACAGACTCCTACACAGGCCTCCTTCCAGAAGAGAGCAAACTCACTTGATGAGATTCCTCATGATATTGAGGGAGGACCCTCTATACCCTGATCCGAAATGATTCCAGTGGTTCAAATAGTGGAAGAGCTGATACAGCTTCAGGCGCTTCTCAAACCCAGGGGCCTTGGGGATCTTGTTGTGGTAGGCAGAGTAGAAGGTGCTACTAAAGCCCCCAAACATGCCGGCTATTGCCAGCTCATATTCCGAGTGGCCATAGAAAGAAGCCGGGTCAAAAATGATGGGCCCAGAGGAATCCTCTGCAACGTTTCCTCCCCAAAGGTCTCCGTGCAGCAGGGCTGGGACGATGTCCAGATCAAGGAACAGGTCAGGGATCTTCAACTGCAGAGAGGAAATGCAGCCTCAGCAAAGCAAGTAACGCATGCGAGAGATGCACATGCTCTTCCCATGTGGCTCCACCGGCCCAATCGAAGAGCATGCAGACGCTCATGGCCATGCACGGTTCAGGCAAGATGCAGGAACACCAACAGCCGTCCTACTGGCCAGCCCCACCGCCTCCTATCCACACCCATACTCACAGTGCTGTACCTGACTTGGCACCTCTCCCTACTGGGGCTGCAGGGCATGGTGGGCACAGGGCACGGTGGGGTTCTGCTTACCTGCAGAGCAGACCAGAGCTCAAGGGCCTCTCTGTCTCCAGACCCCTTCTCTACCATGTCCATCTGAGGCTGAATGCGCTGCTGGGCATAGAATGCGACCCAGTCCTTCTGCCAGTCATTCACCTGCACAGGTAATAACAAGGAGAAAGCAGAGCTCAGAGGGACATGCCAGAGCTGAAGGAGGTGCCCCAAAGTGGAAAGGGCTAACTGTCGCAGACACCACTACAGGGACACGTTTGAAGGGGTGGGAGCTGGTGGGGCAGCATGGGGCCTCGTGCATGTGGTGGGACCTTAAAGCCTGTCCCAGGAGCAGTGGGAAGGGGACCCTTCCCAGTGCAGAGCAACAGGTCCACTCTGAAGAGCTCTAGGACGTTTTCTTTCCGTCTATACTCACACAGGAGCAAAGAGGCCAGAGCACGCTGACCTTTTCTGACCCTGTGGCTCATTTCTGTCCATCCATCTGGCCATAGAGGACCCCTCGTCAGCCCCTCCCAAGCAGCTAGCACTGCCCTCTCCAGACTGGTAACGTGGGAAGTCACGTGGAGCCCTGTTAAAAAGACCACTGAGAGAGGATGTCCAGGCCGCAGGTGCTGACCATCCAGGAGGGAAGCAAGACAGACACACACAAGGGTAGAATAGCACAGGGCAGTATGTGATGTGCAATGACAGAACATCACACACACACAAACGCACTCTCTCAAAGGCGTGCACACACTCCTGTACTCTCACACAAAGGCACTCTCACATGTGCACATGTGCACACTCGCAGCCAGCAAGTTACAGGTGGGAGAGAAAGGAGCAGAGCCCACTGAAACCCCCCGAGCAGCCCGGAACAGAAGGCGTAGCTGCCAGCCACTCACCACCCCAAACAGGTTCCCGATCAAGATTCGAAACATCTCAAAATCTGAATAGTGTCTCCTGCACCCGTATGCCCACCAGGAAATCCCAAAAGTTTTCTACAGTAGAGTCCTTCCAAGAAGCCACCCACTTTTTGCTGAGAGCACAGCCACTGTCCTAACAACTCTGCATGTGCTGGGTGTCAAATTCCCAGGGGAGCCAACCGTAAAATCAGAAAACAAAGTAACAATCCCTTTTCATTTTGCTATCTTTGAGAGCTCACTGTTTAAAATAAAACACTTCTAAAATTTCTAATTTTTACCCACCTTGAAATCCAGCATCCTAACTTGCTGGCCTTCTCTGTTTCTCTGAGCTTACCTAGCACATGAGGGAGTAAAGCTCATGTCAACCTCTTGAAAATTAGCAAAGAAAGAAAGGGAGCAAAGATTTATTAAATTTAACAAAAAAAGGGGGGAGGGTGTGCTTTCCCCAGCTGTTTCTGAACAGCTATCCTGAGTGGAAAATAGAGCCAGAAGCTCATGTCAACCTCTTGAAAATTAGCAAAGAAAGAAAGGGAGCAAAGATTTATTAAATTTAACCCAAAAAGGGGGGAGGGTGTGCTTTCCCCAGCTGTTTCTGAACAGCTATCCTGAGTGGAAAATAGAGCCAGAATGCTGGCGTTGCTCACCTGGGGGAGATATCCACAGCACGTCACCACGTCAAACCCAAACTGGTCTATGAAGGGCCGTTCTGCCTGCCCACCTCCTCTCCCTTGAAAGCAAAAGAAAAACAGGACACGACTAGTTGCCTTGCTCCCTGGGTCCTGCTCTAGGAGCTCAGAGTAGCTTGAGACCTGATGTCAGCCTACCTCCTCTACCTCGGGTTCCCAGAGACAAGCAAGTGCACTGGTCTCCACCAGCCCTCAGGACCAAGGACCCGAGCCTGTTCCATCACACTCAGCAACCAAGGACACTCAGTTTGTTTGTTTGTTTGTTTGTTTGTTTTGTGGTATGTGCCCCTAGCAGGAACCAAACCCAGGACTCTCTGGTCCGCAGGCCGATGCTCAACCGCTGAGCCAAACTGGCCAGGGCTAGGACACTCAGTTTTCCAGGAGCAACACCAGAAGATGCCCAGAGGATGCTCGGGACAGAACAGCTTGCAGTGGCCAGCTCAGCATTTGCCATTTGTGACAAACTGCTGTGCTTTGAAATGGTCTCCTCCTTTGCAGCTCCCCAAATGCAAAACAAATCCTAACCAGTACCTGTGGTTTGGAAGGGAGAGAACGGGTTGACTAACAGGATCCGTCTGTCTCCCACATAGCTTCTCACAGGACTGAAGTCTGACAGGATCTGTCTGTCCAGAGCATATTCTTACAGGTAACAAGTCTGACAGAATCTGTCCCCCACAGTGTATTCTCACAGGACAGGAGTCTGAGGGGATCTGTCTGTCTAGAGCAGTGGATTTCCACAGTACTGGTTCTGACAGGATCTGTTTAGCACAGCAGATTCTCTGCCATCTGTTTCTGGGGTGAGCTACTGTTTAGCAGTTACCATCTGGGCTACACAGGAATTATCAAATGTCCAAGGATGACAATACTGGAAGACACCCAGTGCTAACAGCACACTCAGCTCTATGAAGGTCAGGTGTGAGGCTATCATCGTGAGCCTCGCTGTACTTTGTCTTAGGAGAAAAGGTACTGCATGGAAAGCCAGAGAAACTTCAACAGACTTTCTTCTGGGGACGAGAGGTAAAAGGAACCATAATATTGATGGGGTTTTGAGTCCAGTAAAGATTCCCTGTCTTCCAAATGCATTTGTGGTGCAGTACACTAACTGCAGTCAGTGTTCACTGTACCCCAAACATGCATCTTGGGAGTGACATTCCTTTCCTTTGGCATCAACACAGGTCTGACCCTCACTCATATGGCTGTGGCATAACCTCACACAGACACCCGTAAGATCCCAATGTCCTCCTCCTGGCAGGGTCCCTCTTGCTAACAAAATGCCGTACCCACTCTGCCGGCCTCCTTCTGTAGCGCCTCTCCAAGCTTCTTGTTCTCTAGGTGCAGATCTGCTAGCTGGGCTCCGAGCTTTGCAGCATGACTGTGAAACCAACAGGCAGCAACTCAGCGTGTGACAGATGCGGATAATGCATCCATCTGAACCGTCTCAGGCCACATAAAGTAGGTCAAACATTTTGACGATATAAAGTCGGTTCTGGTGAAGCAAGAGGGAGATGATGGGCCCTCATTATTTGAGGGTCTTTCCCAGACTTATCTGAGCTTGAAGCCAAGTCCTCTGTTAGCATCTCACCTCGAGAGATTCCTTTCCTGTTTGCCTTTGGCTTGCAGAGTATATGCTACTCATTCTGCAGAATCCATGATGTGTGGGGTAGAGGGATTCTTATATCACATCTCCCAAAATTATACCCCAAATACAAGCTTCAGGTATGCAGGAACCACTCAGAAGAAAATCAAAGCCAACCAGAGGGGAAGGTGCCAAGACGTACCTGCTCAGATACCTCATGTCCAAGTGCTCCATCACTAGCATACTGCCACCTCCCGGGGCATCAAGAACCTTGATGGGTTTGGGTACTTTAACTGTGTCTGTTTTCAGGATTGCAGTTAAACTTGCCATCTCACCCTCAAACATTCTTTTAGCCTATCAGAAAAATTAATGGTGGAGGGGAAAGAGGAGAGAGAGTGAGATCACTTCTGGAAAAGTTCTATGTAGACATGTTTTCTCGGGCATTACAATTTTATTTTATTTTATTTTAATTTTTTTTATCGTCACCCAAGGACATTTTTCTATATTTTGTTCAGATAGAGTGGGAGGGAGAGAGAGAGAGAAACATCGACGTGAAAGGGACACATCAAGTGGTTGCCACCCACACGACCCAACCAGGGCCAGGGACAAACTGCAACCGAGGTACGTGCCCTTAGCGGGAACCAAACCCAGGGCTCTCCAGACCACAGGCCGACGCTCTAACCGCTGAGCCAAACCGGCCAGGACGGGCATTACAATTTTATTTTATTTTATTTATTTATTTTTTTAATCCTCACCCGAGGGTATTTTTCCATTTTTTGTACAGATAGAATGGGAGGGGGAGAGAGGAAGGGAGAGAGAGAGAGAAACATTGACGTGAAGGGACACATCGAGTGGCTGCCAACCGAAGTACATGCCCTTAGCGGGAACCGAACCCGGGTCTCTCCAGACCGCAGGCCGACACTCTAACCGCTGAGCCAAACTGGCCAGGGCTAATTTTAAATCAAGGCTACCCTGACTGCAGAGTAAAATAAATAGTTTTTTTTGGCTTTTCAGTAGAGTAGATTACACATTCTGAAGATGCACAGGAGTAAGGATTGTACTTTCTAGCACTGTACTATATATTTTTTTTTTCTTTATTGATTTTGGAGAGAGAGGGAGAGGGAGATAGAAACATAAATGAGAAAGAACATCGATTGGCCACCTCCTGCATGCCCCCCACTAGGGATCAGGCCCACAACTTGTGCATGTGCCCTGACTGGGAATCAAACTGGCGACTTCTTGGTGCATGGGTCGATGCCACCCCGGCCGAGCGTTGTACTATATTTTTATGCTATCGTTGAATCCAAGCTCTCTGCAGAGGGAGGAGGCAACTATTAACATTCCATTAAATAACTGGTACAGAGCTGGACTGTGGTAGTACCTCAACCACAATTCTGTCCCACTACAATCACAGAACCAGCTTTCTGGCCTTACCCTGTTTCTTACAAGATACTGAGTTGGTTTTCAACAGCAACAGAACAAAACTGTATGTCATGCTAAAGTATGCTCAGAGAAGAGAAATTTGACCTTCAATACCTGGAACCAAAGTTTCACGATCCCTCATACTCCCCCACCCCCTTCCCTCAGGGAACCAAAAAGCTGGGACTTGAATGGAACTGTCACTGGTCCACTGTCCAGGAGGATCCAGTGCTGAAGCCGCCACTGAAACCTGCTCCGCCAACCCTTTCACATACCAGCCCCTCCTTCCTTAACTCCTTAAATTTCACCCAAACCCGTAATCTCCTGTCTCCTCGACTTTGCAAAAAGCCCTTTTCTTTTCCCAAAAGCCAATGTCATAGCATTGACCTCTACACACATCATCAGCGAGTCCTTGCTTGGTAACACCACCTGGCCCCTCAGGTTCAGATGACCCCATCTGCATATGCCAGGAACCTGACATCACTTTTCACCTGAATGAACCACCAAGTTCTATGACACCTCCTACCTAGCACTGGAAACTGTTGCATCTTGAACACCATTCCCATCCTAGCCCAAAAGCCCTTGTTCCCCCTACAATGACCATCATCCACCTGGTCTCTCTGCTCACCAAACTGTAGCAATTAATACAGAAGGTAAATCCCACCTGGGAACACACCCTGGAGCTACCAACTCTGCCTTCATCCTGCATGTATGTGGTCCCACAGGGTCTGACCCTGCCCACTTTCCCGCCCTCATCCAGGGCCCCTACCTGGGCTCACCCCTTACACTTACATACATACACACATACCCGCTCTGTGCTCCTGGATTACAGCCTTCTCTTAGTTTCTCGAAGATCCCCTGCTTTCTTCAGCCCCAAAGCCTCTACACACCGTGTCACCTCTACTTGGAACACTATGCTCCAGCTTTTGCCAAGTCAGCTCCTTACTCATCATGCTTCAGATTTCAACTCAATTATGAGTCTGACTTCTCAGAAATCTTCCCTAACTTCCCAGACTAAACAATTCCTCTCCTTTAAAATATTTTGTAAGTAAAAATGCTACAGAAGTACATGCAGTAAAGTCTACAACTCAGAAGCGTCCAAAACTGATTCTCACAGTCAGCACATCCGCGTGACTGCAGCACTGATGGAGACTGGACATTACCGTCCAGAGGCTCTTCTCCTCCCCCAGCCGCTGCTGTCCCCACCCCGCAGACTGTTTTGTCTGCTTTGTCATTCCACACACAGAGGCAGATGATCTGGCTTCTTTGTTTCATCTCCTACTTTGGTAATAGATAGTCAGAGCTTATTCTCACTGCTGTACTTCAGAACTCTGCTGTGAGAATGTTCCAAAATGTGTCCATCCTGTCTCCTGCTGATGGACAGCTGGGCTTCCAGTTTGGGACTACTACAAACAGTGCTGCCATGGACATTCCTCTACATATTCTCATAGTTACTAATTCTGTGGCCTTGGGCAAGTTACTTAAGCTCTCTGGGTCTCAGTTTTCTCTTCTGTAAAATGGGGTTAATAGTAATACAAATAGCATGGGCTTGCGGCCATGATTAACTAAGTTAGCAGCTAACACTTACATAATCCATTCTAAACACTATATAAATATTATTATTATACTACCTTCAAAAGTTATAGTCACCAAGAAGAAAGATAAAAACTGTATCTTGCCCTGGCCAGGTAGCTCAATTGGTTAGAGTGTCGTCCCTATACACCAAGATTTCGGGTTTGATCCCCGGTCAGGGCACACACAAGAATCAATCAATGAATGCATAAATGGAACAACAAATTGATGTTTCTCTCTCCCTTCTTCTCTCGCAAATCAATAAAAAAATAAATAAAAAAGAACTATGTCTTAAGGAGACTTTTCAGAGCATTCTCTTCAGAAGATAAAATGAATGGACCCTAGCTGTATTTTGTCGAAGAGTAAGGTAAGGGATAACTTTTTATGAGTTTATTTGAGCCATACTGATAACAACTGGGGATAGATTTTTTTTTTAAATGCAGGGAGAGGTGAACCCAAGGCTCCCTCACGGAACTATCCACTGCCACGTGGTCTTAAGTGTCTAACTAAACCTAAAAACACTGCTACTCTAGAGCTGAACCAAGGTAAAAGTAAGCAACGGTTAGGGCTAGTGCTACAACAAATCTAGATCTTAAGGGAGGGAAAACCAATTACACAAGTATGCAAAAGACAGATAAGAATAATAAAGAGGCCCTGGCCGGTTTGGCTCAGCGGTTAGAGCGTCGGCCTGCGGTCCGGAGAGACCCGGGTTCAGTTCCCGCTAAGGGCACGTACCTCGGTTGCAGTTTGTCCCCGGCCCTGGTTGGTCGTGCGGGTGGCAGCCACTCGATGTGTCCCTTCACGTCGATGTTTCCCTCTCTCTCTCTCCCTCTCTCTCCCTCCCACTCTACCTGAACAAAAAATGGAAAAATGTCCTCGGGTGAGGATAAAAAAAAAAAAAAAAAAAAAAAAAAAGAATAATAAAGAGGTAAAACCAGTTAGACGAAGTCGATTGCAAGGGTGGGGGGATGAAAAGAATAACGGAAGACCAGCCAAGAAGTCTTTTTTTAGAAGCCTGGAAGAAGACATTTTCACCCCTTAAAAAGTAAAGCATAGCCCAGCTGGTGTGGCTCAGTGGTCCAGTTCAATTCCCAGTCAGGGCACATGCCCAGGTTGTGGGCCCGATCCCAGTAGGGGGCATGTAGGAGGCGGCCAACTGATATTCTCTCTCCCTCTCTCTTCCTCTCTCTCTAAAAATCAATAAAGAGAAAAATAAACAAAAAGTAAAGCATAAAGAGTCCTATTTTCCATCCAAACAACATATGTTTATGCTATGACCAGTACATTTGCAAAACTCACACAGTATATGCCAAAGCAAGCTGGAAAATGACAAGTTTGGAACTATCTACCGAACAACTGGAAAGAACTGATTAGCAAAAGAAGAATTAATAAAGCACCAAGAGAATGGACTTTGATGCCAAAATAAAAAGAACCCAAAGAAATAGCAGCAAAACAATGTTTAAAAAGCATCACTAGTAGTCTCATCGTAGTCAACAGAAAATATTTGCTTCCCCTGTAATCAATACCAAGTTTTCACTTATTACAAATGCCAAGGAAGGTGGAAATAAAGACATGAAAAAGATGGATACCACACAAGAGGAAAAAATACCCAGAGAAGCCCTGCAGTAGAAAATAAGGAACGCTGGCTGGGCTGGAATGGCTGTTGGTTGAGAGTTGTCTGATGCACCAAAAAGTTTTCTGGTTCAATTCCTGGTCAGGGCACAAACCTGGGTTGAGGGTTTGATCTCTGGTCAGGGAACTTATGAAAGGCAACTGATCCCTGTTTCTCCCTCACACCGATGTTTCTCTCTCTCTCTCTTGCTACATTAGAACTGCTTGGGCCCTGGCTGGTTTGGCTCAGTGGTTGGAGCGTCGGGTTCCTTCCCGCAAAGGGCGCGTACCTCGGCTGCAGTTTGTCCCCGGCCCTGGTTAGGTCGTGCGGGTGGCAGCCACTTGATGTGTACCTTTCGCGACGATGTTTCTCTCTTTTTCTCTCTTCCTCTCTCTCCCTCCCGTTCTATCTGAACAAAAAAAATTTAAAAATGTCCTCGGGTGAGGAGAAAAAAAAAAAAAAGAACTGCTTGGGGTAAATCGATGTAACAGGGTAACTTCAAGGATGAACAGCTGACAAGTTCCTACAAAAGAGGATGTGTACAGGATGACACGGCTGAGCTCTGGAGAACGACGCTGGTTCCGAGAACAGCATTACAGAGAGAGTTCGTGGCACATCGTTGTGGAAGATGAGAAGGAAATGAAAATGACTGCAAGAAAGATTTCTAAGGCAAGGATAAACGCACCGCCATGGTATGTGACCTATAGGACTTGGTCCGGGGTAAGCACCTCAGCCTCATTTGAAACCAGGCATCACCCACTCCTGTTCATTGCCCACTGGAGCCAGGCTGGGCCTTCTAGCTACCAGTAAATGCAGTGACCCACCTAAACCGGGAAAAGGGACACCGACAACCAGGAGCAACAGCTTTAGCAGTGGGGCTCACCTGTTTTCTACAGGACCCTTGAGAACAGAGTTCATGTACAAACAGAATGGAGGCTGCAAGGAACTGAGTACTCTGCCCCCCCCCAATTTCTATGCTGAAACCTAAGCCCCAACGTGATGGTATCAGGAGGTGGGGCCTGGGGAGGTGATTAGGACACGGGGTGCAGCCCGCGCGCGACCTGGCTCTCACCGGACCCCGATACTGCCAGCGCTCTGAGCTTGGGCTTCCAGACTCCAAAATGGGAGAAATCAATGTCTGTCGTTCAGGCCGCCCGGCCTGTGTGGTCACAGCAGCCCAAACTGACGGAGGCAGCGGCTAAGCTATTTTCAACAACTCAGAAACGGCTGTGATCTCTGGAAGTTCAAAGGAGGCCCCGGCATGAGGCTCCTGCTCCCCGTCAGCGTTCACAGCGCGCCCGGCCCATCGCGGAGACAACTGGGCGCTCCCGGTCCACGCCGCGCAGGGAGGCTCGCCGGCCGGGCCCACCCCCCACCTCCCTGGGCTGAAGCGGCGACACGGGGCTGGGCCTGCGCTGCCGACCCCAGAAAGCGAGGGCACGGCCCGACGGTAAGGCCGGGTCACCCAGGGCCACCGCCCGGCGGCCACGGGCTGTGACAGCCCCGCCCGCCGGACCTCAGCCGGTGCCCCGCCCTCCAGCCTCCCACCCCGGACCCCAGGCCCGAATCGCGGACCCCGCCGCCGGCCCTCCGCCCTCTCGTCCCGCCCGGCTCGCGGCAGCCCTGACCTCCGCCTGGGTGTTCGTTTTCACAAACACTCGTCCTCTGTCCGTGTCGTAACTCTGGCCCTGGCTAATGCACCCGCCCCCCGAGTGGCCCGTGGCCTGGACGGAGCTGCAGCCCAACTCGCGCCTCAGCAGCTCCTCCATGTTCGACTGCGGGCCCGCCTCAGGAGGCGCGGAGACGTCTGGGGACTGGGCGAGGCGCGTTGCGTCACGTGGGGGCGGGGCCGGGTTGACGTGCAGGGATTGGGTGAGGGGCGGGACGACGCCGGGTGGGGGCGGGGCCGCGTTGCGCGTACACCAGGGGCCTGGGGGGTCCTGGGGCTCTAGCTCTGCTCCTGACCTTGCCTTTCACCTGCTCTTGACCTGGTGTGGCTTTTGGCTTGCCCCGACCCTTGTCTTCCCCTGATCCCGGTTTTGCTCTTGCCCTGACCTTGTCCACTGGCCTTCCCTTGCCCTAGGGCACAGACCCTGCTCCAGCCCACTGTTCTGGGATCTTTTCTTGCTCTGCCCCAGCTGCCCTTGTCCCCTTGTTGGACCTTAAGCTCGGGATCAGATGGTCACAGCTCATGGGGGTTTCCCTGACCTGGACGACTCCTACAACACCCTTAGGAGTGACATCTTACCTTTTGTGTGTGTGTGTAGGTGATTATACAATTAACATCTGTTCTTCCAACTAGACTTTAGTGATTTGAGGGCAGAATAAAGTCAGCTTTGGTCCCTGTATTAGTCAGGGTTCTCCAGAAAAACCAAAATAACAGGAGATGTATACATACAGAGTGATTTATTTTAAGGAATAGGCTCACACAACTTTGGAGGTGCAAGACCAAAATCCTGAAGGTAGACCAGCAAGCTGGGGACACAGAATTGTATTCTACTGGCAGAGTTTATTCTCCCTTGGAAGAGGTCAGTGTTTATTCTACTCAGGCCTTCACTGAGTAGATGAGGCCCACCCACGAAGTAATTGGCTTCACTCAAAGTCCACTAATTTAAATGTTAATCTCATCCAAAACAGGCAAGAGACAGGCTAGTAAGCCAGGACCAGTGGAATAGGGAAACTGAGATAGTTAAATGGCTAAGCAGTTTACAGCCATCTTAGTAAATCATAAAATTGTATCTTCCCTAAACCAAGGACACTTAAGAGTAAATGGTTTTTGCTTGGCCAGTGTGACTCGGTGGTTAGAGTGACTGCCTGCACACCAAAGGGTCATTGCAAGCCTTCTGTGCCTGTCCTCAAGAACCCACCCCTTCTTTTCTGTTGTTAATTCTCACTCGAGGATATTTTTTCCTTTTTTTTTAAGATGGAAGGGAGGGAGAGAGAGAGAAACATCTGGGGCAGGGATCCAACCTCTAACCCTTTGGTCTGTGGGCCAACGCTCTAACCGCTGAGTCAAAGTGATCAGGGACCCCCAAGGCTCCCTTTTCTCTGACTTCTGAATGAGCCAAAGCAGCCCAGCCTAGGCTCATTTCCACACCTAGTCTTTTTTTTTTTAAGTTTTTATTTTATTTATTTATTTATTTTTATTTTTTTGATACATGCCCCCTAGCAGGAACCGAACCCGGGACTCTCTGGTCCACATGCCGACACTCCAACCGCTGAGCCAAACTGGCCAGGGCATGCACCTAGTCTTTCTCCTGTTGCTTCTGTCCTAGGCCATTCCTTGTTTCACTGTCCCCAGTTTTGTTTTGTTTTTAACGTTTTAAAAATTTTGTTGTTGTTGTTGATTTTGGAGAGAGAGGGAGAGAAAGGTAGAAACATTGATGAGAAAGAACATCAACTGGCCACCTCCTGCATGCCCCCCCCCACTGGGGGGGGCAGGCCACAACCTGGGCATGAGCTGACCGGGAATCGAGCCAGTGACCTCTTGGTGCATGGGTCGACACTCAACCAGTGAGCTACACGAGCCGAACTGTCCCCAGCTTTAATAAATGTCCTCTAAAAATCTTCTGGAGGGCCAGGGATGGTGTCCACTAGAACCCAGCTCTTCCTTCCACCTTCTCCACTGGCTGGTCTGGTGTGAACTGTCCTAAGTGATGAGGAGGTTGTCTGTGGGGGCTAAAAGGGGACAGAGAAGAAGCGAGTTGCCAGTAGGTGGCCTGAGAAGAATGCAAGCCTTTGGGGCCGGACACACCTGGGCATGGAGGCTCTGCACTGGGCGAGACTGAGGGGGCGGGACTTGGGCGGGGTTTGGGGTGTAGCATCTGGTGGGCGAGAGGTTGGGTGGCGCCCGGACAGGGCGGTGGGTAGGGCGAAAGTCTGGCGTAAAATCTACATTACATGGTTTTCCTAAGGCTCTGGTACTTTCTGGAGCATCCGTGAGGTTATAGCTTTGCTTAAAATAGTTTTTTTCCCCCTATGTCGGAAGAACAACTGGCACCTTGGCTGTGAATTCTTGGTGAGTCATCAGCAAATAGACATCCAGTGTGAAAGTCTGATCAGCTGTTAGTTTCTATTTACTTTTTGACAGCAGAGAGAGAAATAAGAAGAGTTCATTGGTGTGTGCAAGTGCCTGGGGCTTTGGAGAAAATATAGTTAGTCCCTTTTTAGTTCTTAAGTCTATTTTTATTTGAGCATCATAGAAAGAAACTCAAATGCTTTTCCATAGTCAAGTGGGATATAATTTTCACATCATGTAAAAAGTTCCCTTGTATATCACCCAGAGATGGCAGACATTCCTTTTCTCCTTCACCTTCCATCATAGGTGCTACAACTGTGCTCTAGGTCAGAGGCCACTGCACAGTGACACACAGAAACCAACTGCAGTGCAAACTGGGAACAAACCCTCAAACAGTTAAGCATAGTTATTGTACCACCCAGCAATTCCACTCCTACATATATACCCAGAAAATAAAAACATATGTCTACAAAGACACTTGTTCACTGATGTTCATAGCAACTCTATTCATAATAGCCAAAAGGTGGAAACAACCCAAATGTCCATCCACAGATGAATGAATAAACAAAATGGGTTCTGTACATATAATGAAATATATGGGTCTTTAGGAAGGAAGGTAATTCTGACATGTTATAACATATGTGAACAGCCCAGCCTATGTGGTTCTGGTTGAGCATCAACCCATACACCAAGAAGTCATCCGTTTGATTCTTGGTCAGGGCACATGCCAGGTTGTGGGACAAATCCCCAGTGTGGGGGCATGCCAGAGGCAGCTGATCGATGTTCTCTTTCATCAGTGTTTCTCTCTCTCCCTCTCCCTTCCTCTCTTTCTAAAATCAAGAAAGAAAAACAAATTTTTAACAAATATATGAACATTGCAGGCACCGTAACTGAAATAAGCCAGTTCCAAAAGGATAAATACTGTATGAATTCATACACAGTACCTAGAGTAGTCAAATTCAGAGACAGAAAGCAGAATGGAGGTTGGAGGAGAGGGGATGGGGAGTTAGTAGTGTTTAAGGGGGACAGAGTTTCAGTTTAGTGAAGATGACAAAGTTCTGGAAATGGATGGTGGGGATGATTGTGCAACAATGGGAATGAACTTAATGCCACTGAATTGTGCACATAAAGTGGGTAAAATGGTAAACTGTATGTTATGTATATTTTACTGCAACTTAAAAATGAAACAACAAAACCAAGGTTGTGATGCTGTGTTGACCAGCTCTGGCAATGGAAGCCACTGACATGACCTCTGGCCATCATGTTTTCTCTGAGCCTGCCTTTGCTAGAGTATCATCGGGAATGACAATTCCCACCCCTCCTGGTTGCTGTGAGATTAAAGTGGGTGAACCACAGATGCCCTGAGACTCTCTCACTGACCATCGAATGCAAGCCTAAACCACTCTGGACCTTGCCCTCAAGTCCCAAGGATGCCTCTCTCCCCGTGGTCCCTCCTCTCTGCTGTATGCATGGCCCGAAGCAGACTCTCCTCCCCTCTCTCCTCTAGTACTATCCAACATCACCACAGGGCAGGGCCAGTTGGAGACTGAGAACGTCACAATCAGCCAGGTGTGTGGCGGAGGGAGCCCATGGGATCTGCCAGGGTGAAGGCCTGACTTGGAGAACATGCCCTTTTCTCATCTCCACGTGAGGAATTGCCACCTGGAAACCAAATTTCTCTAAACTAGTGGTACTCAACTGTGTGTGGGAGGAGGAGGGATCTTGCACCCCTGCCCCAGGGATACCTGGCAATTCTGGAGACATTTTCAGTGGTCACAACTAGGGGGAAGGGTGTTGCTGGCAGCTAGTGGATAGGGATCAGGGACACCGCTCAACATCAGGCGATGTACCGGACAGCCCCACCACAGAGACTGATTTGGCCACAAGGGTCAAAATGCCTAAGGCATTTTGGCATGACAGCCTGAGGCGATGAAGACAGGCCCCTTCTGTGAAGGAGTGGCCCTGGCAGGGGCTTCTCAGGGTTGTATTGGTTTGTGAAATTTGCACAAGTCATATATTTACCCACAGTGGGCTTAGAGCTTTCCACTGCAATGCCTGCTTTGTTCCCTGCTCCTTGTGCCTGTGCGTAGTACAGCCTTTGGGGGATCCACCCCTCAGGAGGGAGTTAATTTTCATGGAAAATGTTTTTTATTTTTTTTATTTGTTTCTTTATTAATGTTAGAGAGAGGGCGGGGGAGAGATAGAAACATCTATGAGAGAGAACATTGATTGGCTGCCTCCTGCATGCCCCTCACTGGGGATTGGGCCCCTCACAGGGCATATGCCCTGACTGGGAATCGAACCAGTGACCTCTTGGTGCATGGGTGGATACTCAACCACTGAGCCGCACCAGCCAGGATATGGGAAGTGTTTATGTGGTTCTCAGTCATTTCTAGGTCCAGGGAGTCCCCACCAGCCCTGGACTGGTTTCAGGAACCCTACCACCACCATGTGAAACCCACCAGAGAAATGAGAGAATGCAGGGCCAGGTGTACCCCTGAGAGAATGAACCCAGGGGACTTGACTCTGGAAGGTGGAGGAGAAACAACTCTGAAAGAGCTGGCAAATAATTCTTTTTTTTTTTTTATCCTCACTCGAGGACATTTTTCCATTTTTGTTCAGATAGAGTGGGAGGAAGAGAGAGAGAAAAATATCGACGTGAAAGGGACACATCAAGTGGCTGCCTCCTGCACTGGGGCGGGGGACAAACTGCAACCGAGGTATGTGCCCTTAGCGGGAACTGAACCTGGGTCTCTCTGGACCACAGGCCAATGCTCTAACAGCTAAGCCAGAGCTAGGGAATAATTCTTGGCACATGGGCAAGGCTCTAGAAGACTTTCCTTTGGCTCCTGGAGAATGGAAAGCTCTTGTCCATCAGGAATACTTTCCTAACCAGCACCGGCAACAAACACTGAATGTCTCTTATGGGAACCATGTGCCTCAGGCCTATTCAGAAAGCCTAGGTTCATAAAGCACATGTCTGTTCACACATCTCAACCCATTGGGTCTCCTCTGGGGACCTGATATTTTATGTTGTGATGGAGTCTGCTGGTTACAGACAAATTGGCAGGATAAAAATCTCTCTTCTCCCTTGATAAATGATCACAGGACCCTGACACAGAGAGGCAATCACAGGTTATACAGACAAAAAAGTAAAAATAAACATAGTAGATCCACTTGTTGCCTTATGTATATGGGTGGCAGCATCTACTGTGGGTAGCTGGGACCCTGTGCCTGGGGACAGCAGTGGGGCATTTTAGCCTGGGCAGATCTCTGTCCCTGATGGACCCGGTGAGTGGGTCCTCCACAATGGTCCCCCAAGTGCCCAGCGAGATTGAGCCCAGGTGTTAGAGGCAGTCTCAATAATCATGAAAATGTAAGTAGCTGTAGATGTCTCCAACATACAGCAAGGTGGATGTGAGCCCCAAAGGGACACAGCCCTCTGTGGGTGTTCTGACCTTATCTCCCCTTCTCCCCTCACCAGGATGGGCTTGAGCTCTCCCCCACGCAATCATCCTCCCACGGAGTTGATGAACCAAACCAGTAGGTAAAATAAAAACAGCCCAGCCCTAGCCGGTTTGGCTCAGTGGTTAGAGTGTTGGCAGGCGGACCAGAGAGACCTTGTTCGCCCCCGCTGGGGACAGGTACCTTGGTTGCAGTTTGTCCCCGCCCCGGTTGGGGTCCTGTGGGTGGTGACCACTCGATGTGTCTCTCTCACATCCATATTTCTCTCTCTCTCTTCCTCCCTCTCTCCCTTCTGCTCCATCTGAAGATAAATGCAAAAATGTCCTCAAGTGAGGATTAAAAATAAAACAAAACAGCCCATACACATCACCATTCTCAAATCAAATTATTATTATTATTTTTTAAATCAAATGATCCTTGCTGTATTTTGATCCAATAGGGGGAAAAAATTGATGATAGGGAAGAGGAAATGGACATTCACACGAAGGATTTTATGGAGCTGAACGCTCACCTGGTCAGACTCCCAGAGCTGAAGGCAGGCCCAGGACTGAAGACCACGATTCCCTACACCTGGAGGGAAGCCGGGGCTAGCGAGTCCCCACCTTGTCCTCTTCCCCAGCACCTGCACAGACACGTGCACGGACGCATACACTGACACGCACACAGGCACACACACGAACACGTGCACACGTACACAGGCGCACGAACACACACAGGCACACGCAGCCATGGACTCTGAGTCGCTCTGGGACAAGGAAGATGTCTTGGAGCAGCCCTGGGGAAACACCTTGAGTTCGTCCGGGGCAGAGACCCCTGGCACTAGAAGACCTGGCACTGGCGTCGGGGCGGAGCGTCCGCGGACACAACCGGCCCACAGCGCCGGGCGCCGGCCCACGCGGCAGGGTAAACGCCCGGACCCGTCCCCTGCTCGTCCCACCCCGCATTGGCTACCAGAGCAACGTCCCCGCCCCCTGTCACCTCTGGCTCCGCCCCACCCTTCTCTGGACACCCCATGGCCCCGCCTCCCTCCTACCATTGGCTGCAGCGGGGGTGGGCGTCGGTCTGGAGGTGGAGACCGCGACGAGATGGACGGGCAGATTAGCCAATGAATGCGCGGAGCCACCTTAGCAACTGCGGCCAGCCAATGGCGGGGCGGGACGGGGCCGTACACGGTCAGGCGGCGGGGGTGCCGAGCCCAGCGTTCCGCGGACTGCGGGTTTGAGCGGCGCCTGGGTGCCCAGCCACCGCCTCTGCGCCGTCCCGCGGGCCGGGCATGGGCGCGGGCGCCGGCACCATGAGTGTCCTGGGCAGCCCGGTCCGCGCCTACGACTTTCTGCTCAAGTTCCTGCTGGTGGGCGACAGCGACGTGGGCAAGGGCGAGATCCTGGCGAGCCTGCAGGACGGCGCGGCCGAGTCCCCGTACGGCCACCCGGCGGGTGAGCGCGGGGCCGGGCAGGAGCGGGGCCAGGGGAGTGCACGGCGGGCCGGGGAAGTGAGGGGCCGAGGAGGAGTTGGGCCAGAGCCCAGGAGGAGCGCACGGAGGGCCGCGGAGGAGTGGGGCGGGGGCCGAGAAGGAGTGGTGCCGGGGTAGCGCGCGGCGGGCCAGGAGGGAGCGGGGCCGGGGCCGGGAAGGAGCGGAGATGGGTACGGGGAGCGTGGGGATCGGGGCCAGCCTGTCACTGTCTGGATCCGAACCACAATACGCAGGCGGCCCCAGCTGCACTCCCGTTCCGCACGTGAAGGACCCAGAAGGCTCATGGGGGTCCTGGGGTGGCCGCAGAGGCGCATCCTCCATCCTCTCGCCGCGGTCTGCGCGCCGGCGGGAGCGAGCGGCTGGCCAGGCCGCGGGGTCCTCCTGACCTGGGGGTGTCTGTGAGACGGAGGAGAGCGTGGGGACGACGCAAGCGGAGGTTGAGGAGGGGCCCCCAGAGGGAGGCCCACGTGCGCGCTATGCATTTGGAAAGAATGCGTGGGGAGACGCTGGGAGCGGATCAGAGCGTGGGATCCGAGCGCAGCGGGAGCAGGCTCCCAGGTGGTTGCTCTGCGCGTGGGTCGGATGGAAGAGGAGGGAGAGAAGACGTAGAGGCCTAGTCCAGAGGCTTCTCCAGGGTTCCCGGCTGGCCGAGGGCCTCCTCATCCAGGTGGACAGGCTTAGGAGGGCAAGGAACCCAAGTATACTGGAGACTGCGGCCTGAGGCGGAGGAAGTGCAAGATAGTAGATTCCAGGTCGAAGGGAGGCCAGAGCATCCAGAGCTCGAGGGCAAGGGGTTTCCCTAAGGTTTGAGGTTTGGCAACCGCAACCCCAAGAAGGGGGTGGACATTAGAGGGCAAGAAGGGCGGGGGTGAAGGGGTGGGGAGGAAAGTGCGGTGGGCCGAAACTTGGGCCAGGAGGCAGGAGGAGAGCCAGGGTCTTGACCCATTACAACCTGCTGGAATGGTGCAGACTGAGTGGCCATGGAAGCAAACCTGTGCTTAGTTACCTTTGAGCGGTCATCTCTGGGGTGTGAACCACACTTCCAACACAGGTCCTGCTGCTTTGCCACTCTCTGTCTTCTGGGCTTGCAGTCTGCTTCCGGGGGAGCATAGGAGGGCAGCCTAGGGAGAGGAGTCTTTTCTTTTCTAATTTGAGGATCTCTTTGGCTTTATTAAGTGATCCCTGAATTGGGCAGCATCTCGTCCAGCAACCAGCTAGGTGCTCCCAGGGATGGAGTCTTGATATTTAAGGCAGCCTGGGTGTGCTTCTGCCCCCACCAGGTAGGATGGATAGAGAAGAGTGCAAAGGAGGAATTCCTCCTGTGTGGGGGGTGGGAGAGGGTGGAATGGGGGTTCACCAGGAGATAGAATCTGAGGTGAAAGGCGGGAGAGCATTTGCCTCTGTTCAGTAGCCAGTGCAGGGCATCTCTGAAAGGCAACAGTTGTGGTATGACCCCGGGGGGGGGGGAGGGGGGAAGGTGGGCTACGTGGGCATCAGGAAAAGATGGTCTGCAGAGTGGGCAGGAGAAAACATCTGGTTCCTGAGCAGGGCAATAACAGAACACAGGAGCATCTTAGGGAGAATGGGCTGGGGAGCGAGGAGAGAGTGGGGAGAGTTTGATGATGGGCATGAGCTGATGATGAGAACCTGGACTCATCCTCAAACTACAATGGACGGAGAGTCACCTGGAGGTCTCATGCAGATTCTGATAGGTTCTAGAACAATGTTGTCCAAGATGATGCCATTGGCTACACGTGGCTTTTTAAATTTAAAGTAGTTAAAATGGAACACAATTAAAAGTCTGCATTAGCCACCTATGTTGAGCGTTTCCAGTGCTCAATAGTGACATGTGGCTAGCGACAGCACTGACATGGCAGAGTTCTGCTGGACTGCACAGCCCCGGAGTTTAAGCTCCAGGAGGCTGTTTGCTCCAGCTGGGTCCCAGGGCCCCGCTGACCAATGGAGGAGCCTCAGTGGAGGTGAAGGAATAAAACGTTCAACAGATAAATCATGGCACTTTTATTTTTATTTCTTTTTAATTTTTTTAATCCTCACTGAGGATATTTTTCCATTGATTTTTTTTTTAGATAGAGTGGGAAGGAGGGAGGGAGGGACGGAGGGAGGGAGAGAGGGAGAGAGAGGGAAAGAAACATCAATGTGAGAGAGATGCAACCCAGCCGAAGTAGGTGTCCTTGACTGGTAATTGAACCTGTGATTCTTTGGTCTGGTGCTCTAACCGCTGAGCCAAACTGGCCAGGGCAAGCATGGTGCTTTTAAAATATGTGCGTTTGAGGGGAACAAGCTGCGGAATACTTTGAGTTGTGTAGTAGGTGCGAGATGTGGAACAGATATGCATGAGGACATAACGTTTGTAAAACTCCTGGTGCGTTTGAACAAGGGCTTTTTGCTCATTGACTAATACAGGTCTTCTTAAAACAATGCTTTCTTCTAAAGTTTTTCCTCGACACCAAGGGAGGATTTAGGCTAAAAGACACTTTTCACAAAAGCTTTTGTTGTCAACTTGGCATGAGACACTGCAGAAAAGAACCCATGTCATAGATGTGCCCCTGGTGGGTTTTTTATTTACTGAAAGATTCTTCTAGGATTAAGAAAAGAGATTATGAAAAATTGTGAAAAGTTGGAAACATCTCCATTCCCTTCTGCCCACCCATCATCTGAGCTTTGTAGCCTGGGTTGTTTTCACATTGCCTAGGTTTAGAACACTCATTTGTGTTGTAGCTACAATGACCACAACTGCTCAGTAATAATTCACCATTTAAGGACTCAGTGCTGACCACCAGTCCTTTTACACTCTGTATCAGTGAGTTCTTTATTTTGCTCTCCTTCTAATTAGCTAGATTTCGTTTTCCATCATTTTTCAGGATGGGTTCATGAGTGTTTTCTGAACTTTTTCATGTTTGAGAATGTCAGCCCATTGTCTTTATCTTTGAATGATATCTTGTCTGGGTATAATATTCTTAGGTTATATTTATTCCTTCTTGACACTTTGTAACTTGTCCGACTACCCCCTGGCATTGGATGTGCTATGGTGAAGCCTGAGGTCAGCTGAATTCTTTCTTTTTGTTTCATAGTTTGTTAGTTTAACCAGACGATGTCTCAGAGCTGAATAATTGGTACTGAACTTCTAGTACGCTCTGTACTCTTTGAATCTGAAGAATTATTTTTTTAGTTGCAGGGAAATTTATTTTAATGTCCTTAAAACATCTTCTGTTACATTTGTTGGTGTTTCTATTTCAGGGATGCCGATTGTATTAGTTTCCTATTGCTGGGCAACTTCCCACAAACTTAGTGGCTTAAAACAACATAATTTTATTATCTTACAATTCTGGTTGTCAGAAGTCAACACATCCTCACTGGGCTAAAACGAAGGTGTGGGCAGGGCTCGGGGTGTCTGTTTTCCTTGCCTTTTTCAGCTGCTAGAATCCACCATTATTCCTTGGCCGATAGCCCCTTCCCTCTCCTTCAAATCCAGCAATGGCCCATTGAGTCTTTCTCACTTCACATTCTTCTGACACCAATGCTGCCTCTATCTTCACTTTTAAAAACTCCTGTGATTATATGGGGCCCATTTTCATAATCCAGGATAATCTCCCTATTTTAAGGTCAACTGTTAGCAAAATTTATTCCATCTGCAGCCTTCATTCCCCTTTACCATGTGACCTAACATTTTCACAACTTCTGGGGATCAGGACATGGGTATCTTTGGAGGGGGTCATTATTCTGCCTGCTGCACCGATTATCTTTATGTTTGTTCATTTTTATTTGCCTTCCACGTCCATTCACTTCTCTCTAATTGCTTTGATCTTTTTGTCTTTCTCTTCTGAATTTCTGGGATTATCTCAAGCTTTTCCTATTTCTTGGTCATTTTGATTTTAGTAAAATGTTTCTGTTACTAATTTATTATGTTACTTCAGTAATTAAGTTGTTTTGGTCTCCAATTTGTTCTTACTTTTACAATTTTCTTTGTTTTCAATTTTTAAAAATATCTTTAAAAATTCATTTTAATAGCCCTGGCTGGTTTGGTTCAGTGATTAGAGTGTCAACCCGCAGACAATGAGTTGCGGGTTCGATTCCAGGCAAGTGTATGTACCTCGGTTTTGGTTCCTCCCCAGCCCTGGTCAGGGTCGTGTGTCCCTCTCATGTCAATGTTTCTCTCTCTCTTCCTCTCTCTCCTTCCCTTTCCCTCCCTCCCACTCTATCTGAGGATAAATGGAAAAATATCCTCAAGTGAGGATTTTTTTTTTAAATTTTTTCTTTTATTGTTTTTTAGAGAGAGAGGAAGGGAGAGGGAGAGAAACATTGATGTGAGAGAGACACATCGAGTGGCTGCCACCCACACGACCCAACCAGGGCCGGGGACAAACTGCAACCGAGGTATGTGCCCTTAGCGGGAACCGAACCCGGGTCTCTCTGGACCACAGGCTGACGCTCTAACCGCTGAACCAAACCGGCCAGGGCTCAAGTGAGGATTTTTAAAAATTTTCATTTTAATAAAAAAACTCTTCTTGGAACTCTTATTGTACCACCTTAGTCTTTGTATTAAGTAGTTCTATTGCATAAAGTAATTGGGATAAATTGTTTTCTGTTCCTTGGGTTGCATTTTCTTTTAAGGTGGGTTGTCTGTTTTTTCTTACTTCTATAACTTTCTGTTGAAGTATGGATTACATTTAGAAATGTGTGCATATTGTAATTGTACAGCTCCATGAGTTCTCACAAACCTCACACACTCATGTAACCAGCATCCAGATTAATCAGTGTTCTCTCTCATCAATGTTTCTATCTTTCTCTCCCTCTCCCTTTCTATCTCTCTAAAATCAATAAAGAAAAAAAAAAAAAGAAACAGAACTCTGTCCTGGCTGGGTGGTTCAGTTGGTTGGAGCATTGTCCTGTACACCAAAAGGTTGTGGGTTCAATTCCCAGTCAGGGCACATACCTAGGTTG